TAATGTAAGAACTATCAAACAGTAAATTTTCGATGGGCGTAGCGCGACCCAAATCCCAACTTTGAAGGCCGTCTATCCAACTGTCAGTCTGTCTGTGTTTGGCATGACCGACGACCTTTCTGAAGAAAGTATAATGGGTTTCATAACCTCCTGATGATGTTGATATTCGACAATTAAATAATTACCCAGATGCCTGTCATACTATTGAACACTAGTTGTATCCGTTGTAGATGTTGAGATACGGATTTATTTTGTTTATTCTCCCGACGGTGTAACAATATTAGATTATAATTTGACGGATAGTAAGTTTCGGATTGTTGTTGGTTTTTGTTTACGGATGGATATTAATTACTGAAAACACTTAATTTGGAAGTAAAAAGATAGGATGCTAGAAATTAAGTTATCAAAATTTATGGATGGATTTTTTTACCCGATGAATTAACGTATCGAAAACGATATAATTTTTTAAGTTACTAATGTTACTATGAGAACACTTAAGGAATCGGAATATAGTTTCTCGATGTCATTGTTTTACAGGTCAAGTGTAAGAAAGGGCCATGTCGCCCCAACTTTTGCCTGTCTAAGAATTTTCATTTCGATAATTTCATTTCATTGTTTACGTGAGAGTAACGTTACAAGAGTTCACTATTTGATGAAGTACGAACTAAGAGTTATACAGAGTGTCGCGTAAGCAAACAGTAAAACTCAGGGAAATGGGTTAAAGTATAGAGAAAATCACGAATGAATTTTTTCTAGAAAACTCTTTTTTAACCAGATATCCGTATTTTTTTTTTTTTAAATAAACATTATCTATAGATATTTCCAATCTTCATGAAACTTGGTATATGGCTCATTGGTCCATGAAACTGACCTACGTAGAAGAAATTTAAGCTAGTCCAATTTAAAATTTCAAAATTGAAGCCATTTTAATTATATAACTCAAGTTAGCCTACTAAAATATGTCTGATTATATGAAGAAATGTCAAGAACTCTTTTATTTAGCATTTACAATTTCCTATCAAGCAATACCAAGTTCAAAAATATCGAATATTAAATAGCTGATATATCACGATTTTTAGTTGTAAAATTAGAGTAAATCATGTGATTAGCTTATAATTTTACAGCTAAAACTAACAAAGCGTGTTGTGGAAAAATATCGTTCATAATTTTCTCTTTATTTTGACCCATGAAACCATTCCCTGGAGTGTGGCTGTTTACTTACGGGACACCCTGTATAACTTAGGTAATTTATATATAATTTTCCAAGAATGTTCAATGATATTTGAAATGTATAGACCAATTTGATTTGTCTAATCATTGGAATTGCAGTCTTTTATTTCCTAAATTTAGAAATCTGCATGTTTTGTTGTAGGCCTACTTCATTCGTTAAACAGTAATAATCAGCTGTTACCTACACTACTATTCCGAAAACATTATGACGACATTTTCCTCAAGTAAATAAGAAGGCGAATTCATAGAACAAACACGTGGACAAGGTGTTTATTTGAGTAACAAGTCACAGTTTTCTCATTAACAGGTGAAGAATCGAAAGTAAAGCCGTGGAAGAAAGAGCTAACAATGAATAATTATAACATTCGGAATAACTTTTTCTTGAGGTCATTGTTTACGTGAGAGAATTTTGCAAGATTTACAGTTTATTTGACGAAGTAAGAGCTACGAGTTATATAACTTATTAGTAAAATATTTAAACATATATACATTTTATTTGTTCCTAAGTTAAGAACGTCGCCGTTACAATTGGTTAAATTTCAAGATCGTTTTAGAATTGACCGTTCAGTTGGTAATAATGAGAAGTAGAGAGCGACCTGGTCTATTGGTACAGTTCGGTCAAAGTTTCTGTGCGCGTGACCAGATCTGGTTTGAGTCTAGGCGAGGGGTTGTAGAGAGTGGGACTTCGGCCCCTGAAGTCCCGGGCTCAAATCCCGCCAAATCACCAATGTATTTTATCTTTGTTTTATTTTTTATGCTGCAACCCCTAGGTCTAGCTTGAAGTAATGTGAAAAAGACTGGGTTAGAGCCTATTAGCGTCCTAGGACAAAATTTATAATTAGGAGTTCCTAAACACAAGACCAGGATTAAAATTAAGCCCAACTTTACTATCCTTTCTCAAGATAATTTGTGATAAATGTGTTTTCACATTTAGAATTTGCATGTAAATCAAACTAGATGCTCTGAAAATGTTGAGTAAATAAGACATATATTAATTCTGTGCTAAATAGAATTGTGCAGTCACTCCAAGAACTAAAGAGCAGGTCAGATGATAATAGCCGCAATTGAAAGACCTTACTCTCTGAAGTTTTGCGGTTCCATTCTTGGTCATACTTTAGTGTTACATAATGTCAATCAAACAGTGAAGTACCCTCATCCCATCTGTTTACCACTCTCTCTCCTCTTCGTTTTATTAGGGTAATGTGTTGACCAGATATTGACATACCTTCCATGCTCCATCAAAATTATTTATTTGCTCCAGATCGTTCATGTAGTTAACGAACTCCATGCGATAGGACAAACAACTTTCACGGTGATTCTAGACTTGCAGTGATCTAGTCCTCGGATAGTGAAAATACAAACTACAAGAATCGGACATACAAGCAACAATCAATACATTTGAGGACAACTATAACACATATACTGCACTTTTACCCTACAATAACTATTAAGTAAATACAATAATGCTAAACCATTCCATGATAGAGTCGTATATGTACAAACCTACTCGCATGTTTTAATCGGCACTTCAACGTTTTGGAGATTTTTAGTTTGAAAACTATGGTTTAACCTCTAAGGTATAAAATAATTTTAAAGTGCTAAGTTGTTCCATTGATACAACTAATATAATATAATACCACTTTTTATATACCCAATAAAGACGGGCACAAAGGCTATAAAATAGTTAGTTGTGTAGTGTGCGTAGTAGCACTTTGCGCTCGCGTTACACACACTTTTCTTAAAGTTACTATAAAACATAGAAATAATTATCCTTTGAAACACTAAACAACAGGTTTTAGGTTTAATAAGTTAGTTAGGTTAAATAAAAAGCGTTGAACGAAACGGGAAACACTGCACCAGCTGATCGTAGTCGTAGTATCTTTAAGTGTTGCCAACTTATATTAAAGCGTGTGACGTGCCTAAAAAGCACACTGTTTGTGTTGTTTTGGAATACTGGAGTGCGGTAAAAGTAAGTAAATGCAGCAATTAGCTACTTTGCGTGCTATAATGCACAAGAAAGCCCGCTTTGTTAGGTAACTGTAAGAAAAAAATACGATGTGACATCTTGTGTTCTTTTTACCCTTTTAATTGTTTTGCCACCCTACTTAAACTTTGAACTCTTGTTTTAACAACATAAAGTGACCATCGAGGCAATAATTGACCATTTATTTACCATTGTAAACTTCAGTAAGCCACAAGTCTCCTCAATTCCAACATAGCTAATCCATTTGCCAGGATGTAACATCCTGCCTGACGTCTGATGGATGCAATAGAATGTTAGCTTTGAGTCTCCTCGACCCGCTTTGACAGATACCTCAAGTTGCTACATAACCATTTCCTAGCAAACTCCACAGACGTGTTGGGTAATGGCTGACCTTCCAAATCATCAATGTCACGTCGGATGTTGCTTTTAGGAAGTCTACACCAGCGAGAGAGCAATAGAGAGCCAAGGTTGTGCAATTTGCCAGAACAAAGTTTTACTCCAAGAAGTTTTTGAAAGTTTAACAACAAAGAAGATTTTTTGTAGACCCTATTACAGCATTTTATTTGAGAAATCGTTGATATTCCCTTACTGGGTTGGCTTCGTTGGGTTGAAATTTAAATTTAGTTAAACATTTACTAATATTTTTTTTTATTTGATCGTTAGACCACAATCTTTTAGTTGAGGGCTTTTATATCGGCACCATACTTCAATTCGGTAAAATGGTTTCATTTAAACTAAATTCTGGGATTCCTGAACCTTTAAAAACACATAACCCCTCCATAATTGGTTGCCTGTATCACAAACATCACAAATTGATGATCGTCAAATTGACTTTATTTTACATATTAACAAATATTTAATATACAAATGAACCTAATACTTTGAGTAAATATAAATTAAAAAATATGTCCCAGATTAACCCAAATCCACAAAAAGTTACATCTTAATTTAATAACAAAGTTTGAAAGTAACACAAAGGAAGAAAGTGGGAAAGTTCAGGGTCATCAGAGATATAAAACGTAGCTTAGGCTAGGATGAATCACTTCGGAAGAATACATAATAATCCATTTTTTTTTTACTGTACAAACAAAAAATGCATCAAAATATTCAGATTTTAATAATTTCCATTTTGAGAGCTCCATAAAAATCCATAAAAATTAGATAGAGGGAACATAAATTAAATAAAGAATGTGTAATACAAAAGTTTGAAAAATAACGGCATTTTGAAATATCTTGGGAAATTTAGAAGAAAGTATGGACCTTCAATCCTATGGATAACCCAACACTATATTTTTGTAGCACTATTATACTAGATTTTGTACAATATGAATAGGTTTACCTACACCTATTTTACAATGTCAAAAATCTATTCCTGGGGCAATAATAATATATTGTTTACAGGTCAAAGAGTGATTACCACTGTTCCTTATGTTTAATCTGTAACAATGATATACTGTAACAATATGCATCCAGGTAGATGACAGAACCTCGCAATATGACCTTGAAGGATGACCTATTGTAGGGCCAAAATTTAAAGGTATATTAACACTGTTGATAAACTTTACTGGCTATTGACTTTATTCTATGTTGGTATAACTTTTAGTGGTGGAAATATCTCGTATGAGTGGTATGTGTAAAAATATTGTTTAAATTTGTGAAATCGCTGACCAATATTAATTAGCATTAAGTTTAACCTATGTTTTTTGCACCTGAAAATAGTTAAACTTGCTTTGAGATTATGAATTTAGTTAATTTCTCCACTTCTAATTAGTCTTCCATGTTTCAGGTTTATATTTTGGCCTTGTGTCTAGTATTCTACTAACAACATTATCAATACTCTCCTTCATTTGGACGCCTTATAGCACATTAATGAATGAGGTAGGTAAATGGATATATTACTATCCATTGGAAAAGTTATGAAGAATGAGGGTATAGTTTAAATTAATAATAATTTGTGGAATAAACTCAGTTTTGGAATTCAATGTTACCGGTACCATTGAAATAAATAAACTCAATATTCACCAGCCAATCAATTATAAGCCCATTGTTAGAATACTATTTACATTCCTATTGATTTGTTAGAGATAATAGTTAAGTATCAAACTCTTAGTTTATAAAACTCCTTAAGCTCTACTTTTTAGAAACACATGACATTACTCTATTACCATTGATCATTGGATACTGAAGTAGACATCCAATCTATATGGACCAGCTGTCACCAATTTTTTACCAAAAACTTAGTTGTGGGAGTCAGTCACAGAATGCGCTAGTGTCTAACATTCTACCTAATTTTTGTTGCTGACAATGTTTATGGGTCATAACAGTTGATATAGCTCACAATACACTAAGTCATTCCATAAGTTTGACTTTGTAAACCAGTTTCTGAATTCAACAGAAATCAGTAATTTAAATCAGCACAATCTGTTGGTGGCTCATATAAAATAGGACAGTTTTGAATAAAAAACTAGTGACAACTCTAACATAGGGATGGAATGTCTAGATGTATCCAATAGTTAAAGATATTACTAAATAAAGATAATTTCTCAAAGTTCCAATTTTTACTTCTCTAAAACAAGTGATAGACTGAACTATGTCTGATCTCTGCCAATCAGAACTATCATACTTAGGAACTCATAATGCATGTAAACAAATAAAAATTATTATAATATAAATAAATTACGTTCGGAAATTTTGGCCAGTAATTTTACTAGAAAGCTTTTTGCCATTAAAACATGCCTGCTAAATAACACCACATTGATAGAACTTAATTTCTTAGTTTAAAGAGAGTTAAACTATGATTGTTTGTTCAACAGAGGCTAAAGATGGTGAGAGGTTTGCCAGCTTACGAGTGGTGGGCGAATCCTCCAGATGAAGTACTCTTAAGAGTCTACCTCTTCAATATCACTAATGCTCAACAGTTTCTTGATGATCCGGAGGCAAAACTTCATATGCAGGAAGTTGGCCCTTACATTTTCAGGTAGTCAAATCATACTTTGAATTATTACCCAATTATATTGATGAATTGTTTGAAGACATTTATGTAACTATATTCATCCATTGTGTTTATGTGGCAAGAATATTCTTCTAGGTGATATTGAACATGAATATTAAAAAATCTATCATTTTGATTTTGGATTAGGCAATCATATGACTGATATGACCATAAACTAGTAGGTACTATTCTGAAAACTGTTTATGACTGAATAGGACATGGTTAATCTTTTGTACTTTGGTTATAATTTCTGGAATCTGACCCCTCCAGTAGGGTAATCAACCTATGATAAAAAAATGAATAAAACTGTGAACCAGAAGTCAACTCAGTAAATATTACCACACTCAAGATCTGTCAGAAAATAAAATTGCTTTACTATACTAAAACTAAAACTAACACATACATAATACAAAACTTATTTCCGATGACCTAAAACTGCTTATATTGATTGCCTTACCAATAATAGGATTTTCTTTTACAAGTTATTACTTCTTACTTTGAAATGTACACTAGAAAATACAGTAACTGAAATTAGATTCCATTGGTCCAAAAGTAAACGAGACATGATTGAAAACACAAGCAATTAAAATTACTCTTTATGAAAAATTTGAACTCAATATATCATTGACAATGAACTCAAAACATGGTATGCAATTCGGTGTAGGGTTTTGTGTCTTGGTTCATAAACATAAATTATAATAATAAATAACAAAAATGCAGGAATTGATCTTCAAGTTAGTAACATTTTTACAGAACTATTCCTTAAAGATTCTTAACATGTGTTCATACTAAAAACAGTATTTAAATTAATTGAAAAAAACTGAATTTGGCTTTTTTTTATTTTTAATACATGAAGGACAAAAACATCAGTAAATATAATTTCAACTGTCTTTAAAAGTAGTTTTGGTGGTACAGATGAATGTGACAGCTATGTAAATTTCAGAGTGCAATTATGTGTAAAGTAATAACACAGGAAAACAGAGTCAGCAAGGACATAGCCCCAGCGTAGCCTAGGTGTGCCATGCATATGATCCTGTATTCTAGTTCTGTAAACTATAGCTTAAAGCAACTACCAGTGCAATATGACACCTACAATTACTTCAATGCCATTCTTTACTCATAGGCAGTTAGGAATCATGCATATTCTCAAGTTTATCCGTATTGGCATAGGAATTTAAATTTCTTTTAATTATTTCAAAATTTAATACCACGCACATTGTCAGTGAGTTATGTCATATTTGTACAAACTTTCTAATTTTTTCTCGAGTCAAGCAAAAAATCTGAGGAAAATAAGTGACCCAGATAAAGACAATTGAAAGGTGCAGACACAACTCAGGTACTCAGTAAGGACTGCATTCTTGAACAGCTTTTTTTAAACTTTCACAATTAACTTCTGAACAGTCAAATTTGATCTGGTCTTTTATGTCTACCTGATTTAACAAAAAATAAATTCCTTTCAGAAAATTTATGATGCTATATGTAAGAATATGGAGTTTGGCAATTCCAATCCCAACATTTATCATATCTTTAAAATTCTTAAGGAATACTCGTTAACGTAAGATATAGAATGAAAAGTATTGAAAACAGTATGGACAATGATCATCTCTTTTCCAGGGAAAAGCTTGTCCATAAAGATGTGAAGTTCAATGAAAATGGAACCATGACATATACAGCCCATCGGACAGCCATTTTCCTACCAGAGATGAATCATCTCTCTCTAAATGCTACGCTAGTTCTACCAAATTTAGCTGTATTGGTAAGTCTTTATCAGTGATATTCTAAGAAGAGGACAAAACATTTATCGGAAAATGTACAAAAATAAATTTTGTTTATTTATTTGTAACTGGTTACACACTTTATTCAGTGCTGTAGTCGTAAAATTTCTAAGTCAGGAACGCTCAACACGAGTCTCGGAAAAAACCCAGGTCACCCATTATTTATAGTATAGGATTTTTGGCGAAACAGAGAGGGAACGCAGCCCGTACCAACTTCTCGATTTTTCCCACACCCCTGACTTTAATGGATAAAATCTATAGAAGATCTAACCAAATCATTGCTCATAAATGATACTTTTTTTTTAATTATGCCCCACAGTTATGCAGAGATATATTTACTTTCACCCATTACCGGCTCTATGATGAGGGTAACTAATTACAGCACTTATGCCGGCTCTATGATGAGGGTAACTAATTACAGCACTTATGCCATCGAAGTGTATACTAAAGGATCTGAAGGGATCAGGCATTACAAGAATGAAATGACTTTAACCAAATTAAACTCTGTTTTGAAGATAAAAATTGATTACATATAACTTGAGGAATAATAACTTTGGAGGTAGTGCAGCTTAACCAGTCAAATAAATTTTTTAGTGAGCAAATAAGATAAGAATTTCATTAGTGGCATAGCATAAATCAAGCCAGTTTTCCCCTCCAAAATCGTTTAGACCTTTGGAATTATGGTTATTAGATTTGTTGATGTTTTAAAAGGAGGCAGCTGCATAACAGGAGTGGGGTAAAGGAAACTACAGTCATAGTTGTTCAGTAATGTATTATCATGTGAAACAAATTTGTAGACCAATTCGCCCCCCCCCCCCTCTTTGAACCTAAGTCTTGTATTTAAATTTTATAACCCTTTTCCTGCACTCCAGTAAATGTAGTATTGTCAAAGTAAATACATTTAAATACAGTTATCCTGAATTACTAGGACACCAACAAATTTAGCTTAACCGTATGTAATACGTACATGAAATTTAGACATTCTGTAACTGAACAAGTCTACCAAACTTCAGTTCCTCATTGGCATAACATACTAGTTTCATTAAGGCATCATAAACCCGTGTTTACACAAGGCCAGTAGAGCAGGCAGGTTACTTGCCTCTAATGCTAATGTATCTCAAGTTACCTGAGACAAGTAACCTGCCAGTTGTGGCTTATAAGATCAGTTATACTTATTTGCTATACAGGCACTATCTCAATATTAGTTTAATATTTTCACCTACATACCAACTCTAAAGTAAAAATAGTAATTTATTTTACAACACAAATGCAAGAAGGAGAAGTATCTATTTGATGAGTAGCCTAATATTGTTTTCAATGTGTGATATCAATTATCATATATATTTTTAAAATTATTTTGTTTTACCTTTTTAAAAATATTACAGTTTACACAACACTATTAAGGATACTTAAACTCTATTTTATTAGACTAATGTAAATATTTACCTTCAGGGGATGTCATCGTACCTGTGGGACGCATCATTCTTTACCAAGCTGGGATTTAACCTGCTACAAAACCGGCTAGACTCACAGCCTTTGATGAACACGACAGTCTACAACTACTTCTGGAATCTCTCAGACCCTCTGCTCAAAGTTGCTCATCAGCTGGCTCCTACAATGGTCCCTGTCCAGAACATGGGCATTTTACATCAAGTCAGTGCTTTAGTTTACTACAATAATTTTACAAAGAGAATCATCTAATACATAGTGCTACCACATACATCTTAGATTACCTGGAACCTTTTTTTTAAAGATTTGAAAATGCTGAGGGATTTTTACATTTCAGAACCACTGGATTTTTACAAGCAGGAAATTGAGAATTAGGAGTTTTTTTTAGGATATTGCTATGATACCATCATCAACTGGAAGCAGTTTTGAATCTGCACAACAATCTATAACTTTCATTCTGTACCATATTATATTGATTCAAAAGATGATTTCTAGAAAGCCTGAACAAAAGAAAATGCATCAACAGAAAAGTGTGATGCTTCTATTGCAGATTTATTGATCATCTTATAAAAATTTTTGGTAAAATCAAATTATTATCTATTTTTGTTAGGCCAGGCGCACACAGGCGATTTTGAGTCTGGCAACAGTTGCCCAACTAATTGGGGGGACTGTTGCGCAACCCACTCGGAGACTCTGAAGTCTAGCGACAGTTGAGCTGGAGTGCGCACACAGGCAACTTTTTAGTCGTGAATCTAAAGTCTTAAGACGTAAGTTGGACATTACATTCGATAACAGCGTTAACAGTACCGAATTGATTTCAATGATACAGCCGTAGTATGTGCTCTGTCGTTGAATTTGTGATCTTTGATTTTATCCTCTTCTGTTAGGTTATTCCAATCTTTACTAACTACGAAAGGAAACTTCATCCCACAACTTCTTCTTCTAATTAATATCCAAATAGTCTTTCAATGACTTCAAATATAAAGGCGGCCTCTTCTCAACTTTATCAATTAATTGTTTGACATCCTCATCATAAACAATCATATTTTAACAATTTTCTAAAAACTTCACACAACAAAAAGAGAGCAAACACTAGTGAAAGTTCTGGCCACGAGTAGCTAAATTCCTGGGGCGATACTGAGTGACACACCGACAATTTAGTCGCATGTGTGCGCGTCTACACTTGTTTCAATGGATACCAAACCTGGAGCGACAGTCCCGTGACAATGAGTCGCAGAGCTGTCTCTGGCAAATTGGGTCCGGGAACATCGGTTGCAACAGTTGCGTGACTGTCCCTAGACTGTTTTCTTGGTGTGCACACTCCAATTTAAAACAATGGTGATCTAGTCGGGCAACTGTTGCTAGACTCAAAATCGCCTGTGTGCGCCTGGCCTTACAGTACGTTTTTCTAAGTATATTCCTCAATTACTTAAAAAATGAATCCCTTCAAAAACCAAAACTGAAATAGTTTAGGCTCAGAAACTAACAAAAATTGTTCTTTTTAACGAAAGAGAAAAATTGTGAATGTATTCAGAAATAAAATTTATGTTTTATCTTGATTAGTCATAACTACAATTTGATTTTATGACATTTTTGTTTTAGATCTACAGCAATTTTGTGGACGAAGTGACAGTATACATGGGTCCAGACAACGGTTACCGGTTCTTCAAAGTGAACCAGTTTCACGGTAGCCCAAGATTCGGCTATTGGGACAATGAAACTTGTGACTCTGTACAAGGTGCAACTGAAGGCGTGACCTACCATCAGTCCATCTCAAAAACAGACACCCTAAAGTACCTACGAAAAACCATCTGTCGAGTCGTACCACTGGATTTCACACGTACGTTTAATAGGGTTAAGTAAACTACTTTTACAGGATTGGAAAAAATATCTATGGTAATAGTTTTGACTGTTATTTACACCACAAAGTTAAATACTTAATTTATAAATCTGAACCTCTTAAAGATTGAAAAAACATTAAATACAATTAATCTATGACAATATTTAAATTTGTTTGGTCTAAAAACAAAAGGAGGGGGAAACAATTTGTTTTCAATGAATATTACCAACTGAATGAGAATTTTCACTTAAATAATCTTTGCTGGTTCCTCATGGAATCAACAAATGAATAAGAATTGTGGCTCGGACAGTGTGTGACAACTAGGCATTGATGTTGTTTTATGACCCACTTCAACCACTAGTATTTATCAGAGCAGTCTTTTGTGTACTCTGATTTAGTCCACCCTTTAATTGCTTGTTAGTTCATCCACACATGCCAAATGACTATGGGGATGGGCAAATGGAAGGTTAAAAGAGGTCGCCAACCTGTAAAAAAACTGAGGAAAAGTATTTATAAAAGGTTTTCTGGTTTCTTGCCGACCGACACCAGTCCAAAGTAACACTTTTTCATAATTACTCTGACATCTGAGTAAGATTGCACCATCGACAATTTTTATCAGAATGAAGTATTTCTTAATAGCGTTAATTATAGATTAGGATTTTGATTTTTCTATCGTGTGCTGCAACTAAATTAAACAGGAAACATCAGCTGAAGATGTGCAAAACAAATGAAATTTTAATTTTGCCTGTCAGATGAGGAGATCAAGATGGGAATGACAGTGTACAAGTTCGAGCTTCCTCTTGACATTTACTCTCGTCCTCCTGATGGTTCAGAGGAATGTTTCCTACGTCCAGGTCTGCCTTCCTTGCCTTCTGGTCTCACCGATGTGTCACCCTGTTACTACAGTGAGTGTATTACAACCATAACATACTTTTTAGAACTAGGCCTATGTTCTACTCATAGGTACCACTGCAGTAACTATTGATTTAGATAAAAATAAATTTGTTTCTGACAAAGCAATACAACCTTTGCTGGATCCTTCAATATCTCTGACTAAAAACTATTTTGAGGATTTCGAGCCTGAAGTAGAGTGAAGCTTTAACTCTAAATTATGGAGGGCTTATTAATAACCTTTATGTACTATAAAAGTAGTACCAAATGTACTATAAAAACTACAAAAAGATCTTTAAAAGACTTGTATTTGCAGCAAAAAAAAAATAGTATATCTTCAAAAATCAAGCATTCCAATAACATTGCAAAAACAACATGGCAAGTAGTTAGGAAAGAGACTGGATTTATCTCAGATGGTTTTCATTGTAATGAGTTGTTAATTGGTGACAATAACATTGTAAAGGATCCAAGAGATATAGCTGAGGTTTTTAATGACCATTTTAGTAGTGTGGGGCAACAGTCTTCCATAGGGGGTTCAGTTCAGGATGCAATAAATTACATAAATAATGCAAAGATACAAAGCTTAACTTTTTCATTTAGTCCAATCACAAAAAGAGATATGATTAAGACTATAGCAGACTTGTCGGCTAAACAGTCATCTGGATGGGATGAAATCCCAGTTTCATTAATTAAAGAAATTAGTAGTATCATTTTGAATCCATTGGTGCACATCTCAAATATTGTATTACATACTGGAGTTTTTCCTGACAAACTAAAATTTTCCAACATTTTTCCAATTTATAAGAAAAACTGTAATAGAAGTTTATAGACCAGTAGCACTGCTTCCATCATTTTCAAAAATTTTGGAGAAGATCATATTAAATCAAATGGTTACTCATTTAGAAAAGTATAATCTTATTAACGAAAAACAATTCGGTTTTAGACAGGGAAGATCAACCCAGATGGCAGTATTTGAGCTGGTGAGTGACTTGTTGAGGGCCTTGGATGAATCGCAGACAACATTTGGAGTTTTCTGTGATTTGTCCAAGGCTTTTGATTGTGTCAGCCACGAACTGCTGCTATCCAAAATGAGTTATTATGGATTTAGTGGCATAGCACATGACCTGTTTGAATCTTATCTGACAAAACGATTCCAAAGAGTTAAAATGTTCGATGATGACAGAATTGCTCACTTCTCAACTTGGAGGGAGGTTGTCTGTGGGGTGCCGCAGGGATCTATTTTAGGGCCAGTATTGTTTCTGTTCAACATTAATACTCCACTTTACCTTTTTGCAGACGACACTACAGCAATAATTAGGGGTCAAAACAAACAAATAACAAAAGTAAAGCTTTTAAATACTCTCCAAGAAATATCTGACTGGCTATCCAAAAACTGTTTTAGTTTGAATTGCTCCAAAACAAAAATCTTAGCTTTCACTTCTAACAATAGAAACAAACAAATAAATGAGGAATTCCTCATGCCAAATGAAGAACTTTGTGAAAATTCCCTTAGTGTGAACTTTCTAGGTTTTACACTTCAGGACAACTTAAAATGGCATGATCAAATTCTGGCCATACAAAAAAAACTTAATAAATCTCTTCATGCTATTAGAACTATTGCCAACATCTCAGATATAAAGACATGTCTTCAGGTTTATCATGGTTATTTTTTATCAATTGTTAGGTACAGCATCATCCTTTGGGGTGGAACATCAGTAATCGACAAGATATTCAAGTTACAAAAAGAGGCCATTCGAGCAATGTTTAAACTAAAATTTAGAAAATCATGTAAACAATATTTCAAAAATTCTAAACTATTAACTGTACCAGCTCTTTATATTTTTGAAGTTCTGAAATTCTTTAAAAAACATCAACAATATTTTTCAAATAACAGTCTGGGGACTCAGGGTACAAGAAACACAGACACTCTGCGGTACCCTAAACATAGATTGTCTCTTTTGGAGAAGGGTCCATATTACATGGCAATTAAACTGTTTAATCACCTTCCACCAGAGATAAAAAAAGAAAAAAAACTAACACATTTTTAAAAAAACTGGAAACTCATCTAGCTGCAACATGTCCTTATAAAGTGGACGATTTTTTTTTTTAAATGAGCACATCTGTCTGAGTCAGGGGTGTTGTAACGTATATATTCTCATTTTTGTTAGACTGTATCTTATCCATTGTATTTGATTTTTTAATAATTAATTGTAATAATTGTAATTGTAATTAATTGTAATAATTCATTTACACTCTAGCATAATTGACATGCCATCTGTTACATGAGCTATGCTCAAATTTGTAATGTTTTTTATGGCAAATAAAGAGTTTGAGTTTGAGTTTATAAATATTTGTATGCAAACTTTTTCTTTTCTACAGCAAGAACACAACTATTGAAGAGGAGAGTTGCCAACTGTAGAGAACCAAACTGACTCTATTCAATCTGATAGGAATCAGCACTGGCTTTACGGTCCTAACCTTGAATTATATATTTGAAAATTATTTATGTTGTTTCCAGATTTCCCAATAGCCGCTTCTTTCCCTCACTTCCTCAATGCTGAAAAGTCAGTCAAAGAAAGCATCGTTGGATTGGCTTCTGATAAGGCCAAACATGGTTCTTTTGTCATTGTTGAGCCTGTAAGTATTTCACTTCCAGATATTTGACTAAAAGATTTTAGCATAAAATTCTCCGTCAGAAACAAATTGCTGTCAAGATAGATAAAAATGTTTCCTATCCAAATAATCTTTGAAAGTGTAAGCAAACTACAGTATTTATTTTATATTAGAATAGTCGTAATCCAAAAATTAATTGAGAAAAAAAGAATTTATAAGCTGATAATAATTCAGACACTGCTATAGCTTGAGACTGACCGTTTTGCACAATCTTATCTCTGCCACTGGATTTCCCACATGACTAGAAGTAATCAAGTAATCATATATGTCAAACAGTTTTTGACAAATTTGACACTGATGAGGTTGGAGTAGTTTTTTATATAAATATGTTTATTAGTAAAACAATGTTTTCCCTCTTCTTCAGTAAAAGACAAACATCAAAAAATATTCTTTGTTCACTAACAGGAGGTTCTTGAAAACCTCTTTAAAAACTGTGTTGGCCGCAACTGCTTGGTAGCGTCATAGAGGAATATAATTACTTGATCTATGATAGCGATCTTGATGTTTGGATTGCTGCAAATTGTAAAATCTTTCTTTTAGACTGTATAAAAAGAACAAATTTTTCCTGAAAATTTTTTAATTTATTTGCCACAATTTACTAGGCATTATGGTTTTTTCCACTTGGTCACGTCTACTAAACCAGGTGTTTATTCAATAATTGTGATTAAAATTTGTGGAATAGCATGGATAGTTTTCTCTATACAATCATTTAATCTGCAATGTTCAACAATAGTATTGTTGAGTTGAGTAAAAACACTGTAATATTTAATATTTATCATACCAGTGCTCTCTGTAAGCACCTTGCACAAAGTGGCAATTGTGCATATAGTGACAGAGATTAGTAGATGTCAAATCAGTAAACGCTAAAACATAGTAAAACAATAACATTGGTAATCATGTCAGTACCAACTTTTTAGTGTCACCTACAGGTACTTTAAAGCTTTACTGTAATATTGTTTTCAGAATACAGGAGTCCCGATGGAAAGCAGAGCCCGAAGTCAGTCCAATCTTGTGGTCCGCCAAGTATCTAGCTTCCCTCGAGTGAAGAGGTTCAGCAATACTTTCATCCCCATGTTCTGGGCTGAATATGTGAGTAGACATTATAACAATCAAAATTTTTTTTTAATACTAAAATTGTTCACAGGATACTGGTTAGAATGTTTGATTGTTCATCAGAAACAAAATAAAATTGGCAAAAATGGATGGAACTCTTTGATTATGAGTAGAATTTTCCTATAACTTATCCCACATTTGACGTTTCATTGATATTCTTCCAAATCAGACCAGTTTCCTACTTTTATACAGTATGGCGCCTGCTCCAAAGGTTGGTACTTGGGAAATAGTTCTCGTAGCTACTTCCTTATCCAACTGGTGAAATTAATTTACCCTTTTATTATTCAAAGAAATATTATATTGGTTAAACTATAAAACCATAATGTCACATTAAAAATCAATCTTGGGTGGAATGAGTAATAACCTAAGTGTGCAATTGACAGAATCAAGTGGGACTTCCGTGGTACATCGCCTCACTGATGTACTTCACGGTGAACATTCTGCCTGTGACCCAGACCTATTTCTCCTGCTTGTTCACTGTCCTGGGAGCTATTCTAATAGTCAGGGTCCTCTTCAGCATCATCCAAAGAAAGCGTGAGTCATCGCGACCGCTGTACTCCTACAGTTCGCTGGATCTCATCCCCCCTCCTCCCAAATGCTGACACACCCTCTGTTGGTTCCTATAAGTACTGTAATGCGATGCAGCACTCAAAGCACTGCAAAGCTCAAAACCAGATTCGTGATAACCCACTGTAGATTAGCTTAGTATTTAGGCTAGTATTTTACTATAAGAATATTTTCGTGACTATATTTTAGCGAAAATTATAGCATTCTGTTTAAAGCTACAGAGTAAATACCGATAAAATGTACAATGTATCAAATTAAAATAGTGTTTATGAGAGTATCGTTTTATATAATTTATATTTTATGTATTCCGTCCAAATGTTGTAAAATATATCTGAAATTTTTTATGAGTTTTTCTTGTTATCCTCTGCTTGTAAAAGGTTACTGAAAATTTTAGATTAATGAAAGAATAAATGTGTTTCAAATAATATTTCATTAGTTTGTTTTAAATATAAAAATAAGGAAGTTATTAGTTGTCGTTTTACATATCAGTACAATGGACAATATCAATAAAAATAATATTTGAGATAATAATAAGTTTAGAAAATTCCTCAAAAAATACAAGTAGTAAATGATTTTAAACACACCGTCAACCTCCCTCCCAAATTAAAAATTAAGGTGGTATGAATTTACAGTGTTACATCCATTTCTTGCTTGAATATCGAAATTTGGAGAACATTAGTTTAAGTGTTATCTTAGAAATCCCATCTTATGAACAAAAGTTTCTTGCAACCTCCCTCACAGAAATACATATTGATTGGAAATAATTATTATAGTGCGTAAAAGGTATGAAATCAAGGACTGAAGTAAAATTAAATATTTATTCCTTAGCAACAACAAGAGAGCCAACAAATCACCTAAATCCATATTAATTATTTTATTGTTCTCCATTTCAAACGTTTCAATTGAAATTCAGACAGTATGAATGAATTAAATATATTTTTTTCTATTTTCCATAAAATATATTAAAGGCAGTTTGATTTAAACACTGATTTTTTTACTCACATAAAGCTCTATAAAGCAATAGAATTATCTACTTTAAATAACAGTAGACTTACTACCAAACTACAAATCAACCAAAGGTAGTTAGTTAAATAAGCTTTTATAATTTCAATCAATTTTATCCTTAAATCTTACTATTTTAGCTGTGTGCATGGAAATAAATCAAGTTGTTTGGAGAACAATTGAATGAATGTGATATTCACAAAAACTTTGGTGGATGGAAAATCATTTTTAGATACTGTATATAAATGTCACATAGCATCAAATGGGAAATATGCCATTGCCATTTAATTTTTTATCAGAAAAACTGCATTACTTCACTACTAATGTGTAACCCTGAACATAAAAGAGAAACACAATGTTTAAATCAAATGATTAACCATTCAGAAAGTTTTTGAGAATTAAGATTTTTCTAGTTTCAACAAGCGCTTTGGTATACTCATCATGCTACACATGGGCTTATCTACAATGTACAACATGTACATGTTAAAAATACTATCTTACCAACAGAAGGCACCACTACTGTACTTTATATATTTGTGCAAACAAAACATTCAATATTACGAGCTTAAGGTAAAACGTATATAGGAAAAACGTTCTAGGGATATACATTCGAAGAAATGGTATTTATCTATTCATCACCCTATTTAATAAAAGAGTAAGTATATATCAAGTTTTGTTTTTTATTCTTTTGCAAATTTGTGTGGATGTTCAATGCCAAACTAATGAGTGCAATAAATACATGAATTATGTTTTGTCATAAACTACTTATAGGCCGATTCCAGAAATTTTTGATTCCAAATCCGATTTTAATTCTTTGAAATAAATTCTCAATTCTTGATTCCGATTCCATAGATTCCATTATGTTAAAAACATTTCCTGCGGTCTTGTAAACATCGTCATTGTCTCCTGCAGTAATGGCAAAACCCTGAACAAATCCACATGGTAACAGAACATCATAGTCTTCCGTGATCGTGTCAAAATTCTGATCATTTCCCGCGGCCGTGTGGACATCATCATTGTCTCCTGCGGTCAAGACAAAACCCCGAATAACCCCCACAGTAACGGAACATATGCATTGTCTGCCACGATCACGGCAAAATTTTGATCATTTCCCGTGGTCATATAAACATCGTCATTGTCTCCCGCAAAACCCGTAATAACCCCCAAGGAAATGGAACACCATCGTCTTCCCCTATCCCGGCAAAATTATGAACATCTCCCGTGGTCGTGTAGACATAATCGTCGTCTCCCACAGTCACGGAAACGTCATCGTGGTCTTGCGCAGTTGCGGTAGTTTTTTGATCGTGCGGATCTTCACAGACAAGTCGAGTATCGGTATCAGAGTGGACTTTGAACGCTCCTGTTCCAATTTATTCCCTAGCTGGGAATCGGTGGAATCGAAAATAAAATTTGGAAATCAACCCATCCCTAGCCATAACATGTCTTAATATATTTTGAAAAAAAACCTTACAATGAGCTTATATAAGATTGGATTGCCTTAGACTTTTATTGTCCTATTACAAAAATGTATGAACAAAACAATAGGTTGCAGACAAATCTGAAAGGCTTGGAATTAAGACTAAAACTGTGTGTCATTGTAGACAACTTAAATTTATCATCTGTCAAACTTTCTTTGTATACTTGAAGCATTAAACTTAATTCCTCAAACACAAATCGGACAATCCTCACAGTATGATTCATCATGAGAATTTTTTAATACTGATCATTATTATCTTCTTCACACTTGCCCAGCTTGTTTTTAATAATTCCTTTCTACTCTCGGGGAGAAAATAATCAAGTACTTGATCAAACTTGAGTTAAGCTAAAAATTTAAATACAAATGGTAACAATAACATCTCAGTAAAATAATACTAAACAACCTAATGTTGCTTTAAATTATCATCTTAAGAGGGCGTTGGAGTCAGATTAAAAATCTTCGCTGACACTTCTCGCTGCAAACGGGGCGCAGGCAAACCAGTGACAAGTTCCCATTGAAACGTGCGGAACATGCCTTCACTTAAAAGCATATTTTTTTGTTACTGTTTGGCTTAATGATTTGAAATATATTTTATTTCAATCTTAATAACATTTCGGATCATGTTTGCGGAATAGTTTCTTCTATGACGTCCTAGCAAAGCTAAAATAAATTGATGAATATATGGGTTTTACATTCTATATTCCTAGAAATCCCTTTATTTTTGTTAAAAAGTCTCCTGCAATAATGATGTGTATTAAATATGCCTTTAATTTGAAACATAGTTCATAATTTTATATTGGCAAATAAGAGAGATATCAGGGTTTAAGTTTAACATTGTTCTTATGGAGGTAAAAATCCAACATGGCCGCACTCCAACGCCCTCTTAAGTAACTGTAACTTAGGTCACAACCATAAAGTCATAAAAGAATAAGTGACAGAATAAATATATAATTACAGTTATTGAGGCAATGTTAAAATTAATCAGGTGTCTGCATTCCTCAATGCCAAATTATTCTCCTAATCCCTTACACGTTGCTATATTCACAAATAAGGAAAAGTTGATAAGTTTTACATTTTAATCCAACAAATAAAATATTGTTAAATAATTTTAATGATAACACCATCAATACAATATAAAATAACACTTTGATTTTTCTTAACATCTTAACTAACACAACAACAATGAGCCAAATAACAATAAACGTTATCTCATTGATTGCAATTTCACTTGTTCATTAATAAAAATGACAGTCTAGGAAGTGAGAATTAATTGTCTTTTATATTTTTACATTGACTAATAATTGGCCATAAACTAGGATTGAAAAATGTATTTTTTAGATGTTAAAATGTAATTAATACTTAGCAAGTTAGTAATGGGACATTTCCATTTACATGATAATTTGAGAAAAAATTGTTTTGGGATGAATCTTGCGGATACTAAACAGAGTGAACTAAATAGTTATTGTGAACCAAACAAGCGATATAGATACACTTAAGAATTTAAATGAACAAATTTGAGTAAACCTAAGCAATGAATCAAGGAGAAGTTAGTTGTTGACTTTGATTGTTTAAATCACAAGAGACGCACAAAAAAATTCATATTTTGTTCAGGGAAAACTGGTACAAAAACATTTTTAAACTAATCATTGTTTACAAAAGTGGTTGGTATAAACTAAAATATTGAACTAGGTTAGCTACACATCTCGGCGTTTAACAAAACACAACGGAGATTACTAAAAAATGTTTTCTTAAATTTATATAAAATTAAGATATAAAATGCGGTATATACAGGGTGATTGATATAAGTGTGCCAGCCGTTTTATTCGAAAACTATAAGAGATATCAAAAAAAGTTAAATGGTAAGTGCCTTGGATTTTTTATTTAAAAAATTATAGTCAAGTCCAAAAAATTATTTTAGCCGCCATTTTTCCAATATGGCCGCCAACTTTGATTTTTCTTATGGAACACCCTGTATTTTATGATGTATTCTGGTAGAAAAAGTAATTTTAAGACGATTTTATTCGTGTCATTTTTTTCATAAACCTAACCGTTTCAAAGATAATAATGGTTTAAGTTGTGAAATTTTGAATGGTTTTCGAACAAAACAGCTGGCATGCTTGCTTAGGCCTTTGTCGAAACTCTTTCTCATGCAGAAATTTCAAAACTTTAACCATTATTATCTTTGAAACGGTTAGGTTAATGAAAAAAATCACTAGAATAAAATCGTCTTAAAATGACTTTTTCTACCAGAATACATCATAAAATACAGGGTGTTCCGTAAGAAAAATCAAAGTTGGCGGCCATATTGGAAAAATGGCGGCTAAAATAATTTTTTTGACTTGACAACAATTTTTTAAATAAAAAATCCAAGGCACTACCATTTAACTTTTTTTGATATCTCTTATAGTTTTCGAATAAAACGGCTGGCACACTTATATCAATCACCCTGTATAATATGCTGGATGAGTGAAAACCTTATTGTGCAAAAAAGGCCATTTTTATATTAGTAAAATCAAAATGTATATTTATGATAAATCCATCAACAAAGTTATAAACTTTCAAACCCAACTCTTAAACTATGTTGAGTTATATAGTTGAAATCACTGATAACATTCATAAATAAAAGGCCATAAAAATTCAAAAAAATAATATAGTAAAAATATAAAAAACGAGGTACTATTATTGCTAAAGTTACGTCATGTCTGGCTTAGTTTGCCAGGATTGATTTAGCTACATTGACTATAACAATGATAACTTAATTTAGGACTAGAAATAATTACAGTATATAATACATATTCATATAATACATTGTTCATTATACATCTTAACATATCAGTAAAAGCTTTGATAGAGATTACCATAAAAAACGTAAGTACCTGATGTTTATATTGAGATTTGTAGAGAGAAAATGTTTATTTAAACAAAATAATTGTGAATTCAGACAATACGGCAACTGGTAAACTATTTTCCATTTATACACAATTTTTTACCACACCTAAGATTAAATTTTACACAGGCAATGACTAGATGTTTATTTAACACTTAAACTATGTTCTAGCTTGAATACACGTATACATGGCTAGTCTAATGTCCTATTATTCCAAACAATGACTCATAAAAAAACACATTAAATAAATAATTAACATACTAAATTGTTATTTTACAGTTCAATACTTCTATGATTATAAAAAAATTCTACAAAAGAATCAATCCTTTCTGCACAGATCAAAATACAATATAAATTAGTGCTATATAATAATCTAATCCACACAAAATCATTTGCATAAAAAAAATATCACTTTAAATACCATAATATCAAACAAGTAATTATTTGGTGTAATTTGTATCAGATATAGCAACGACCAAATTCTAATTCTTACATACAAGCTATTTTTTTTCCTTATGATATACTGTACTGTGATTCAAAAATATATTTATAGTATCCAAAATTTGTTGCCTGAAAAGCATTGCAGAGAAAAATAAAAGCACCTCTTTGACCATATCAAAAATATTACTATCAATATTTCAAACCTTGGTTCCAGTTTCTTAGAAACTCACTACTGTGTCTCAAACACTTCGCAAAAATATACTTCATCCTAACCAATCTTTTCACACCGACTCACAGGTTACTGAGCAAAGCAATGGAATTAGGTACATATTTTAAATGTCATGTTTAGAATTAACATACAGTTATCATAAAAAATAATGAAGAAATAGTAAAAACAACGACTACCTGTTTTGGTGTACAACTTTTTTAGGGAAGTTGTAGGACATTATGTACAGTACATTATGCGTGCATTGGTTGTACATTATGTAAATACTTTGGAATAGATAGGAACAAAGCTATAAATTATTACCTACCTGATGATCATAAGAATATAAAAAAAAACTTTCAAATCACATAAACAATAGCTAAAGGCCAAACTAATGTTTAAAACATATTTAACGCTTGCAATAGAAATCTATTTCATACTAAACGTAAACGTAATACTCGCTTTCAAACCAGATAAGATTCAACCAAAGTTATAATACTACAGCCTGGTTTAGGTTTAGAAGATACAGAAAACCTGTTTGTGTTTACAAAAATAAACTAATCATAGCATTTTGAGATATTGGTGACAGTTAATTTAAGTAGAGGTTAACAATCCACCGAGGGATTATCTTAATGGATTTGGAATTACAACAATATACGATTTCAGCGTACTATTAAGAACTAGAGGCAGTTATTTACTGTGGTTATAAGCATAAGATGTTGTAGTGGCGGTCGTCTTCTGCCACTAGGGTGACTTGGGGCCAGGTGGAGACATGGTCGTCTGGGTAGTAGCAGACAAACTGCTGTGTCCCGTGGGCCGAGGGGCGCACCACCTTGAGAGTCACCCCTAGTGTATAGCCGAGAAGAAACATCTCCACCTGCAAAACACACAGATATATGACTTGTCTGACCACAAAACACACAGATATGACTTGTCTAAATACAAAACACACAGATGCAAGACTTGTCTGGTCACAAAACACACAGATACACGACTTGTCTGATCACAAAACACACAGATAAATTACTTGTCTGATCACAAAACGCACAGATATGACTTGTCTGGTCACAAAACACACATATACAAGACTTGTCTGATCACAAAACACACAGATAAATGACTTGTCTGATCACAAAACGCACAGATATGACTTGTCTGGTCACAAAACACACATATACAAGACTTGTCTGATCACAAAACACACAGATACATGACTTGTCTGATCACAAAACGCACAGATATGACTTGTCTGATCACAAAACACACAGATACACGACTTGTCTGATCACAAAACACACAGGTGCATGACTTTTCTTGTCACAAAACACACAGATACATGACTTGTCTGATCACAAAACACACAGATACATGACTTGTCTGATCACAAAACGCACAGATATGACTTGTCTGATCACAAAACACACAGATACACGACTTGTCTGATCACAAAACACACAGGTGCATGACTTTTCTGGTCACAAAACACACAGATACATGATTTGTCTGAACAATCAGATAATTGTATTTATGACATATTAGTGATGTGTTGGTACCACCTCCCTACTCCTCCTCTAATCTCGGGAAAAGTACCGGTGCCGAGAATTTACATTAATTAGGTCTAGGTAAATCCGTCCATGCGACCCGAGTTACTTCTTTTGTCTACTTACTTAAATAATGTGACTAACTCAAACTAGAAACCACCATACATTAGATAAATCACTACAACATACGTAACCTACAGTTTTGATCACGGTGACATCGTAATCATCTCTCTGTTGGCATGTAATAATTCTTTCTGCAGGGGGGGGGGGTGACTTGAAAAGATAACCAATGAGTGACGTGACATTAAAAGAGTGAGCATTTGGCCATAGACTACTGGTAATACTAAAAAATCTAAATTACCCGATCCTATACAACATGATACCTGGTTTTCCCGATTTTCCCATTTAGCTGAACACCCTGGAAAGTAATACGTTGATTTCATTTATAATTAAGAACTATAACATTTCCAAACAAAATTATCTATTGTTTAGGACCCTAATGATTATTATGAAGTTCTTAATTTGACTTGGTTTCGGGGTTGAAATGAATCACAAATCACCAATACACTTATAAATTTACAAAGTGAGACCATTTTGTGTAGCCAAAATGTTTACAATATTTTGTAAGAAAAGTCCACGTTTGCAAATAACCTTTAAGGAATTAATAGAAATTGGTTAGGTAAAACTCATATACTAACAGTTAACTGAGAATCAATTCTGAATCAGTCAGAAACCAGTTCTTCTATCAACATTGAAATAATATCAACACATCACTGTTAAATACATAGTATATTTTCAATCTGCAATAATAATATACTTATACACATTTAAGTATAGCTTTCACCCTATTTAATCAAGTATTCATGTTTGTCACAAGAGGTCACAGCAAATAATTGAACAAGTTCTACAAACATGCATGATACATGGAGGCTTGAATTATGGTAAGCTTGGATTAAATATTTCTTCAAGGATACAAAATCAAAATTTTTAATACAAGCAAAATTATGAGAACAATATAAATTCATGAAAAAAAGTTTATGTAATTTAAGTAACATATAAGTTAAAACGAAAATTGCAATTTATCTATATTTCCTTTTTACAAACCATTAATTTACCAGACATATAGTTAGTATCAAAATGTGTGTACACATTTCCTAGTTCTGACTCCACACCAAAATTGATCATAAAAACTATTTTAATATTAAACTATGTATTTACATTATCCCAGCACTAACCTCCTTTGCATGGAAATTAGTTTCCATTTAGGAAGATTTTCTGTACATTATAATACAAAATTCATCGCCAAACACAATATCTAGGTAAGTGCCAGATGTAAATCGCCTTAGAAATTAAAAACATTTTGTTTTTAATAAAAAATAAACGCCCTTGTAAAACACTTTATGTTTTATTTAAAAATCAAAACACTTTCAATTGAATTTTTATTTAATATTTGGACCTCATCAACAAGTTTCGTAAACATAGCAAGGACACACTGCAGGTATGTCATGAATCAATATAAATGTATTAGAATTCATGAATATTTAAATGTATTCTGGCCAAACTCTTCCAGAAATATTGAATTTTGACTATACACAATGTGTATTGAAATAATTTTGTACAATTCAGTCTTGATCATCCCACCTAAACTGACTGACTTATGGTAGGATAAGCCAAAATATCGTAAGATAGGTAAAATAATAGTAACCATTGTAAACATGTAAAAACATCATTGAAACAATTTCTTTGTAATCAAACCCATTCAAAGGCCCTAAGTTTGTGTCTTCCAATGAAACCACTAACCTTTTTAAGCCATTATAACAAATTACCGTTTTAAAATCACTTCTAAGTCATAAATGTAATAAGTAACTGAAAAAGAAAAAGCACCACTAAAGCAACAACAGAATGTAAGATAAAGTGATATACGTCCACTCAAGAGCTAAGTGGACACTGTTAACAGAACTACTGAGACTTGCAGGGTAAAGACATATGGTTTGAGGGGTTGACAAGCAATGTGGAAGCAGTGAGACACAGTAAGAAAGTACAGTCAATTGCAGGTATATGAAGCTTGACGTGTATTTTCTCATTACAGTCAGAGAGGGCTAAGGAGGCTGTACCAGGGCCGGGGATAGCAGCTAGTAAGGGCTAGACCACTCTTTTGATGTTTGGCAGAAGCCGCCGCGCCAGGTAGTGGGGGGGTCGGTGGCCGCGTGACGTCACGTGGTTGCCTCGCCCTGCGCTTCTGCAATGAACCCCTTGTTTCTTTGCATTCAATGCGCTAAGTATGTAGTTCAGTTTTAATGTTAGCTGTGGTTAGAAGTGTTCTAAAGTCAAATAATATGTGACTGGCTGATAGTTTGTTTATGATTTTTATCTGTTTCCTATGAAATTATTGTTTGTAAAAACCCGGAGAATGTGTCACTGGCACAAAGATGAATCGCGATAGAATACCCGATTTGATCAATTGCAAAGACTGTAAAAGTAAAACAGAAATAAATGAAAAACTACAAACTGAAGTAGTAATCTTAAAACTGCAACTGAAATTAGCTAGACGAAAAAATAAAGTTTTAGCTAGCATAAAACCTAAGAATATCTTGCAGCTCTAATACAAAAGTTTACTAAATTGAATTTATTTAATTCTTTTTAGAGCGTTTGTAGTCGGTTGTATTTTTTTTTTACAAAAATAAATTATTTTATGATTTTCAGTGACTGTAGGCCTATAATTTGTTATATATTAATTACTTGAGGTTTTTCGATAAGCAAATATGTTTGAAACAATCAAAAGTGTCACAGAACAATCATTAGTTTTAAAACTGCTTGAGTTTTAAATTTAAAAAAGTGTTGATTTACATTTAAAAATGTTTGAGAACATGATAGGAAATTCTAATTAAATATTTATATCGCCACCCAAATAATTTTTTTTATTTTAACCTAATTTTAGTAAGCTCGTCTTGAAATTTTTTTAATTAAATAAACTTGAATATAATTTTGAATAGCAATATTACTATAGAAAAAACCAAATATATGTTTTTTTTTTTTCGAGAAACCATTAGGGAACACAAATAAATTGTTTATTTGGTTAAATATTTCATATTCTTTTCAAAAACATAATGAAAGTAACCACATGTTCAAAGTCTAGTACAACTCTTCGTACTTTGATCTTCAATAACAAATAGTAAATAACAATATTCGTATGAACAAGTTACACCATTCCATAGACAATTTAATTTCCTTTAAGAATGCCAGAGGTTAATAAAATAGGTCTTCAAATTTAGCGGGAATTTTAATTCGAAACAGGGCGCTTGCGCTGCCGAGCATTGCCATCATACTACAGTACAGGCACGGCTGACAACCACGTGACGTCACAGGGTGAATCGAGCAGGATGCAGGTACACCGGCGGAGTGGTCTAGCCCTTACTAGCTACTATCCCCGGCCCTGGGCTGTACCACTAGAGAGTGCAAGTGTCCAATCATACTACACAAAATAACTCGCTGTTTTAAGGTACTTGATCGTTCAAAGAAGGTCGGATGACCAAAGATCGGAAAAATCAAGACAACTGCAGTGAGTCTAACACCAGATTGAAATGTATATTGAATTTGCATCTCTAATCCCACTTTTCATAAGAATAGTTCTAGAAGTACTCTTTTTATTAAGTCAGATATTTATAAGTTACCTCATGGTCCAAGGACTACACCAGCCGTGCTTTTGTTACACTGATATAACTTAGGCTAACTAACATAATCTCATCTGATTCTCACTTCTCACATACTGCATGCTATTTACTACTCTATATTCAGCCAAGCACCATGTAAAAATTAAAATGAAAATTATTAAATAATTGGTACGGAGTGAGTTATGGGTTAGGGTTGTATAAAATATCGTTTTAAAAGATATTTTACTTTCAAGGAGCAAAAGAAAAATAGCTTAAAAAAATATGTGCAGTATCCTAAAATTCTTGATCAAGTTTCACTCTTTATTTGGTATATACAATTTTAACCAATAAAATCCAAGCACAAATAATTAAAGCCTGTTTTTTTAGTATGAAGAAAAACCAGGGATATATGCTCCCAAGATGCTTAAAGACAACTGCTATAAGATACTGATATAAGATAGTTTGCATCAAAGGGACAAATGGTTTAATTCACAATAAATTTTGGAATAAAGCCTGAAAACCTGAGAAATAACTGGCAGCATGCTGCTCAAGCACATTTAGCTAAATACTTACTGAATGAACATCCTAGCACAAAAAGAGAAAAAGTTCAATTACAGTATTACAAATACAGTAACATAGTATAATATGTGATTTCAAAAAAGCATTACAGACGTTTTAGCTAAGTAATACTCAACTACAATATAACTAAGGTTTTGTAAAATAAAACTGCAAATCTACAGACAACTGATAAGCACTAATGTTATCATTCAATCAATTGTTAAAGAGTCAAGTTAAGATTGAAACGGAAAGTTCTTGCAGCAAAAATCTTTTTTACTGTAAATATGTTTTTTAAGTAAATACTGTAACAAAACAGATGTGCGCTAGTGGTTACTGTTACTGTTAACAAACCCAAAGAACTGTATTGAATTTAAGAAGTATCATCTTTATTTTAGAGAATCTGTATGATAGCCTCACAAAGTTTACTAAGAATACAAATAAAACTAAACTATAAATAATAAGAGTACTACAATTCAACAGATAGTATGTCTTAATTTTATCGGCAACTTAAAAAACCGGTACTTTGGTATTATAAGGAGGGCACCCTTATACAGCGCACTGCAGCGGTTATGTTAGGTTGGGTTATCAATAGAAAGTATGACTCATCTGGTATCTTTCGATTCATAACGAAACAAGGAAAGTCCTACAAACATATTTATGATAACCCAACCTAACAAAACTGCCGCAGCGATCTGCAAAATATGTGGCCTCCGTATAGTACCAAAAATAATCTTTTATAGAATAGGGAGCTCATTACAGGAATAACAGGAAGTTCTCCGCAATATGCTAGCCTGACAACAGTTGCCACATGGAAACCTTGTATTCATCTCATCCTGTTAAAACTTGCGTCTCTACTTCAATAACTGTTCTAAGTATTGAAGTGCAAAATATAAACTTTTAACTAGATGAAATAAAAATTACATAGGTCAATGACTATGTAAATTATCACTGAGGCTGTTGTAGAGCCTAGTGGTTTATGGAAAGTTAGCAACGATCTTTACCTGTTCTAAGCCTCCAGAGTCCCCAACTTTAATGAGATGGTTGTTCATAAAATCCAGCGGAACTTCAGACGTGTCTCTAGCGTACATGAGTATGGAGAAAAGAGGAACTTCTTCACCTACAAACACACAACGGGTATATATTTAATGAATGTATTTAAGGTAACAAAATTACATTAGACAGGGTAGTAACTATAACATCAGACCCTACTAAATAGTGATGAACAATCAGCAAAGGGAAGTTTTAATACAGATAGGTCCACAAAACCAATTACAGTAGACTCCCTCTTATCCGGACTCCTCAGGACCGAGATTTCCAGTTAAACAGTCCCCAAAAACTCGTTAAAACAGACCGTTTAAATCCATACTGTATAAGCCAATAATGATTATTTATTACGTATTTAGACACTGGTTTAGATAAATGGTTTCAAATCTTTCTCACGAGAACAGTCGTTTCAGTACCGCCCACTTCCTGCCGATCTAGTCCAGTTAAACTGATGTGCTGATAAAAATTGTCCGGTTAAAGAGATGTAATTTCCACCGAGTGTAGTCCGGTTAAACCGATGTCCGGTTAAAAGGTGTCCGGATAAGAGGGAGTCTACTGTATGAAGTAAAAATAAAACTAGCCTAATAAATGTAATATAAATTGGACACAAAAACCTACTTTTTAAATATATATTATTATTAGTGGGCATACTTTTGATAGATACATATTTTAGCAGCTTTTATTGAGCATGGAAAAGTGCTTGAAGACACGTAAAATTTTTGGTTTCACAAGTTTTTGTTTTTGGATTGGTACTCTTGTCCTTTGTTAGAGGCATTTTATGGAATTGTTTAAAAAAGTAACTTGACATTTCAAATAGACATTAATTTATGATTAAGGATCCATGCACAACTAACACAACACATTCGTTGTGGTTGCTTGATAGCTGAAGGGGGAATAACCAATGCTCTGAGTGAGGATAAGTGAAATAAATTGTTTGGATCATGTCCTACCAAACATAAGAGCCTTCATGTAGTTTATAGTTATACTACAACTACAGTCCAGTGTTTGTGAAGTACAAGAAATATACAGGCAGCACTGTACAGTTTCTAACAGGTCCTGAGTACAGACAAATGCAGGGAAAAAGCTGGGACGGTAGACTACTGTGAACCTCGAACGAACAACGTATTACACGTCCTATGGATCTACACAATGTGCTGCTGGTGTGAGAAGGTCCCTTGTTGAAACGTTAGCCTTACATTGAGCAACGAGAGTTGGCATGTTTGTTTTTAAATTCGTTATGTCTCACCTTCAAATCCTAGGAGTCTGTCCTTTGCTACCAGTGCTGTCGGTCAAATTTTGTAAGAACAGGCCTGTTTTAAATGTTTTTTTTTGCATTTTATGGTAATTTTATTCATGCCGTACTGTCTTCTGTTAACAACTGATCAACTCTATAAGTACATGAACCTGATGACGGTGTTTTAACACCGAAACATGTCCTAAATTGATAGATTTTGTTCAGTTGTGACGGGATTACGTAAGTAATTTAGTCTTACATTATGTCCGACAGCTCAAGAGCTACAAACAAGGATTTTAATTCCTAAGATGTTAGGCTCTAGTCCAGGAGCGTTTTCACATTATTTCAGACTAGGCTTAAAGGGTTGCAGCATTATCAATTAGATAAAATCAATTGGTGATTGACAGGTTTTGAACCCTGGACCTTGGGGACTGAAATCCTGTGCTCTACCAATAGACCAGCTCACTACTCCATGGAAGTTGGCATGGTAGCGCCCAAAACAAGTCCTGCTCCCATGTGGTTATACATCAACATATTGGGTCAATCACTGCACAAGTTTGAGATAATATTTAGAACTTTACTGCTAGCATATGAACTACCGTATACTGACCATTTGTTGAAGCCTGATATAGGTCGAGGGCAGCAAGCATCATATGTAGCTTCACTGCCTCCATGATGTGCAGGTCCAAGTTGGGGTCTGTGTTGAGCAGGTGACTCAGGGTGTCCTCTCTCTCCTGTGTGCTGCGGTTACTGCTGCGTAGTAAAGCCTGCACACAAAAAAATCATACACATCTAGAGAGAAGCATAGGGGTTAACTCCATGACTCAGGGTGTCCTGTCTCTTGTGTGCTGCAGTTACTGCTGCATAATAAGGCTTGGGTACAAAAAATCATACATCTGGGTACGAAGCTGAGAGATAATTATAGGGTTTGGATCCATGGGTCTCAGATCAATAAATGGGATGATCACAACCATAAAGGGGCTTGAAACTGTGCAATTATGTTTATAAATATTCCTGACTTCTAAGGTTCATTGAAAAATATTTTTTAATGTGAGTTTGTACTTTATATAAATCATAGTTTCATTTTCAAACATTCAAAATATTTAGCATACCTCTTGTATTACACAGAACAAAAGTCACAGAAAAAACATTAACATAAAAAATAAAATTTGCTTTAAAAGCATCAATTGTGTTAAATTAGTGAAAAATAGTACTTACTGAAATATTATCCAGAGATTGCAAACAAATTTCCATGCCGCGAAGAATGTTGTTGCCAGAATACGGAAGGCCGTTAAACTTCCATTGTTGATACCATTGAGCCCCGGTGTTGTTTGCCTGGCTGATACGAGCCATGGCGCCGGCGCCATTTGGCACTGCTAGACCTTGTGCTAGAGTCTGGAACACAGCACTGCGCAATGCACAGTAATTGTCTCCTCGGATCTGGCGCAAATGTTGGTAGTTAAGTGAGTCAGCTATTTCTTTGTAACCCTGAAACATAAATGTTTTTAATGTTGATTATTGAGAATTGACAACATAATATATCCTTATCAAAATTAGATTATTAGATGTTCTCAAGGATTTGTTTAATATAATTGTCTACCTCAGAAAAATGCAATAAATCAAACTGATAAATAGACACTTCACTAACTGTAAACATCTCAGCACTTATGATTTGGTAAGGAACTGCCTAGTTTTTACCCCTGTTTTAATTTAACGGTAATCAATAAATATGTATTGTTTTTGTCAACTTTTACCCCTAAATTAAGCATAACAGCATTTGGTGAAATAACATTCACACAGTACAGTCTAGATTATCCAACTAAAAACTAGTTGCCGCAAGGTTTGTCTAGTTGTAAAGGGCGGGGCTTTGGCCCCGAAGTTCCGGGTTCAAATCTCGCCAAATACAAACGTATTTTATCTATGAATGCCACAACCCTCTAGGACTAGCCTAAAGTTATGAGTAAAATCTTTTCCAGTTAGGGCCTAGCGTCCTAGGATGGGACAAAAAAAGATCGGGTAACACAGAAAGTAACAAAACACAAACATTGTAAACATGTAAAAACTCATTAAATTAATGAGTGTCTCTATTATTTAACTTATTTGAGTCTCTTAAGTTTGTTTTTCATTGAAACCAACAAATTTTCCGTTTGGAAGCTATCATAACAAATATTTAAAAACAAAGTAAAATCACAATTGCTCGAACTATAACTAGATACTCATCAACTCAGCTACATGCCCCCATATAACTATCATGTGATTATTTTAAACTGGGAGAAATTGTCCTTTAGTTTGGTTTTAATTTCAGTTAAGAATGTGAATGGAGTTGAATGTTAATTGTAATATTTGGCATGTAAGAGTATTTTGTTGTTTATGTTAAGACTTGGTTTGAAAACTGCAAATAGACTTTGTCAATGATATGCAAATGTATCCTTATGGCAAATAAAGATTGATTGATTGATTGATTGATTGTGAGCAGTAGTAGTATAGTATCAGGATTTGATGAACTGTGTAGTATGCAAAACGCTGAAACTATTGGAAAGTACACTCAGTTGCCCAAAGCCTGGTATGTATCTACCAAATATAGGCATGGGTGGTGAAAGGGGCTTTCTTAACGCACCAGCTACGATGTTTAGTTTTACAATACAGAAAAAACACAATATTTCTTGACACTCAATCATTCTCGAATGGATAACATGAAAGGCTGGATAACCAATTGGATGATTGAAGCTCTACTACTGTACCATCAGTGGTGTAGTGGCACAGGAATGTATGGTAAGGGTTCTGCTTTTTAAAAAACCCCCCCTATTTAGTGAATTCCCCTTATAGGGAATAAGATATTACCATAGGTCTCTTGGTACGACCTGGACCCGGGAATGATTTACTTTCTAAATTTGATGTCCCCAAAGGTGCTATTATAATTCATTCAAAGTTAACTAAGCGATTCTTAGTCAAACAAACTTGTAATGCTTTTAATACTGTATAGTCACAAAACCCCAAGAAGACACTTCGCAGATGGGTTGAAAACGCTGTATTATACACAAAGTAAACGTTAGCGCTTCCTTATACTCATCCACTTACTAGAGAATAACTGTAAGTCCGCCTCAAAAAAGAAGACTTTTCATTAAATTTCATTTCACTCACCTGGCCCTAATCGACTTAGTAGGACTGTGCCCACAAAAAGTTATGCCGTGTCCCTGGCACGTAGGTGTGAACCACGCATTCGTGGAATACGCTCCGTAGGGACAACACTTAGTGAGTTTACATCTGACGTCACCAGGATTGAGGAGAGTTCACGACACCGGCCACGCTTCGGATCAAACTTGTTTGGTGTTCAGTTGTGAATGGTACTCAACAGCTTGCAATCTTGCATTTCTGACTGGCGTTTTGTTTGTTCCTAGCGATTTTTTATGGGTTTGTTAAGAGTTTAAGTGTCCTATGTCAGCGCCATTGGGAACACATGCTATTAAACTTCAAGACAGTGAAACTGCAAAGTTCCTGGAGTTGTAAGATGCTGAACGGTCACTGTAAGATGCAATCAATCAATGCACCTCTGAATACCCTTCAAGCATCCACTTTCTAACCAAAAATGTGTTTTCTTCTCTTTTCTAATTGGTTCACGTGACTGTCTGAACTTGTCGACTAGAAACTGAACTTAAAACTGCAAAATCCTCAACTATACACTCTGCAGATGTTGGCTTCTGAGGTTAAGTAAATCTAAAATATATAGTATGAAGCGTTGGTCGTATGAGCAGTCCTCATCTTACGACAGATGGTAAAATCATCCTCCCTACAGGTGTGGCTCACGAAAGTGTGTTGACAAGCATTTTTATTCACTTACAGTAGGATTGCAGCTTTTATGTAAGGGGTGAGGAAGATAAGTCTCAGGTAGCTGACAATTCGGTGGAAAACCAATGTTTTTGGAAAGGTATTATTTTAAGCTATATTTGACCCTTTCCTTCATTGTCCCTCACCGGGCACAAATGCCTTATTAGGGTTGTTTTACTTTAGCATAATTCAATTCCTAACACAACCAATGTTTTATTTGTAACAATGAAAATTATATCAATTAGAAGATAAAAGGTCTAGTAAAGAAGCTTGATTTGTTTTAGTGTTATTCTTTTTGTTGACCAATGAGTAACATAGTCTTAGTTCTAGTCCCTAGGGTTGGACTTCTTCTCAAACCTCTGCAGAGAGGAAGGTTTTTTACTCCCATCCTTTTTGTCTTCTAAAACTTATATCTTGGAAGGAGGATTCTAACCTGATGAGCTGTATGTTTGGCAAGTAATGTTGTAAACCCTTGGAGAGAACGAAACAGTGGATTTATTTCTTTTGGGCAGGAGGTTGATTCATACTAGATACTTCATCCAGAGCAAGAAGGAAGTTGGTGGTTATAGAAGGTCTAGTAGTTATAACAGAAGCATTATTTTATTTTGTGTGTCATAACAAAACAGCTCATTTTCAAAAATCCTAGGTACTGGGATGAATTAAAGCTTTAGTAAGACCTCATTTGCAATGAACATAACCAACCACAAATAACCATATGCCTAAGTCTGTATTTATGATTTGAAATAAAAATTATAAAATCAACTCATTATTATTTCTTTGTTATCATTTTGTAAAAAAAAAGAAGCTATCTAGATTGTTCTTATTGATCCCAGAACATTAACACGTTGAGTACGGACTACGTTATTTAACGTAGTGCATGACTGGCACACGCGGCGGACTAGGTTAAACTACGTAGCATTCCTAAATTTAAATTATAGATCCAGTGTGAGCTCAGCCTCACACGGGGAACGTTGTTTTACTTGCCGCTTGATGTGCCAGTTTTTTACTTCAATCCATTATAATTAGTTTTCAGATCCTACAATTTTTTAAAGGTGGTGGGGACTGTTTCAAATTTAGTGTAGTGTGGGGTTTTGTCATGGATTTAGAGAAATTGAATAGAATAACGATAATAACTTTAGGGTAGCATTGTGGAAGGAACCTAACCTTAAAATTGTGCTTTGTGCTTGACGCCTTGTTTGCGGTAATTTTTTATGGGGTATCCGGGTTTTTTGTCCCAGCTTTTTTCTTCCATTTGGCAATACTGAGGGTCTGCTAGATACAGATAGAATACAGATAGAACCCAGAACTTTTTGAAAGAATTTTTTGTCATAAATAAAATGAATTGGCACACCAGCAGTCACATCAATCACACGTGATTAGGTTTGGTTTACCATGCCTGCATATAGTAACCCTGAATGAAAAATAATTAATTGTTTCATAGGAAATAGAAGCTCACATAGATCCACTTATATATCCACTATTTTACGTAAAATTGTTGAATAAGAATAATGTTGGAACAAAGTATTTAGTGACATTGTCACTTATTAGTGGATCTGATTCTGTCACGTCAGGGTCCCTGACTGAAATCAGGCTGCTGTGGGGGACCTGTCCCATCAACAGTACGGCTTCAGGAAGGGACGATCAACAGTCGATGCTATATAGGAGGTAAAGCAAGCTGCAATGAGAGCTGAGGATTTGAACAACTCTCTCTGGGTTGTGCTGCTTGTTAAGCGTCAAACACATTTATTTCCGTGAGATGTTGTGATAAGCTAGATGCACTGAGAGCATCTTCTGCGTCCAGACATGCCTCATGTGCATCATAGAGGATTACTTTTGGTTTCGCCTTCTCATTTATGACACTACGGAAGGTTCTTGGATGATTGGATGATGAGTGCTCCTTCTGGTGCCGCTCAATCTTTGACTCGGCCCGGACCTCTGGATTGTCACCTAAGCCTCCTGAGGTCTAAACTAAAATACCTAAGAAAACCGTTTCAGTCAGGAATGCATATGACGTGGTGGCTTTGATAGCTACACTTTGAGCTGGCCCAGCTGAAACGGAACCAAGCTAAGCGTACCATCAACAGATGGATAGCAGACCCATGGTCTCTCGCTCGCTCTGAGCTAAAGTGAGATCATGATTCTGACCATTAAGCAGATTGACATCATCAAGGCTCACCTCTGTTGAGGGTGGGGGATATCAAAGTCTGATGTTAGGATCAGATCTTCCGTATGATGGACAGGGCCGCTAAGGTGGTTTATTCCAGGCACATAAGGCTTTGGATGTCTGTAGTCCAGTCCTGCAGGGGAGCGTGGGCAAAAACGCTCAATAAGTAGGTATACAGGGTGCGGCTCGTCCAGGGTATTCTTCGAACCAAGAAGCTTGACCTCAGGATACAGTCTAGGTAATAACAGAACTAAATGCCAGAAACCTCAGGAGCTCTGTGACAACTAAAAGAAGGGTTACAACAGTCCCAGGTCTCTGTCCAATAGAGTATAGGAGATTTTTTAGTGAGTAGTCTGATCTATTCAGGAGTCTCACACTGCAGGCTGGCCACTAGTGATAAGTCCAAATCTCAACACCGTCAAAAATTAAGTTTTTTTTTTTAACATTCAACTTATCACATGCCTTCTTTCCTTTTCATGAATGAAGTTGTTAATACAAACATTATTAATTTCTTTTCCTCTGTCTGCTCTCAAAATAAAATAATACAATATTCTGATGTCCTTACAGGGAAGCAATTTAAACTCGTTATTTTATTCCTCACTAATTGTTAAGATAAATTGCCATACGTTATTGGACACTAAATTGTTAAATTTGTATATCCTCAATACAACTTTTAAACTGGCAGCAATGGAGCAAACAGATCACCAATAACACTGACAAAACAAGTATATTATATTCTGAACTGCAACGGGCATCATAACTAATAATTCAACAACTAAGTTATGTATGCACAATACAGTTTCATATTAATGCTTATTAAACACAAATAAATATTGATCACTAAATGTTTGAATTGATCTTATATCCATGTTATTAAGTTAGTTTTCGGAATGTAATTTGTTTTAGTGTTTGTTGTTTATAAGATTATGTTTAAGCAAATTACCATAAAAATAGGGAATAAGCTATTACCGTAGGTCTCATGGTAAACATAGCCCCGGGATCGATTAACTTTTTTGTTTTGAGGTCCCCAGAGGCCAAAAACACCATCCGTTCAAATTCATATACATTACAGTCTCTATAATCTGGCTGTGCACTAATATGGCACGTTAAGTAATCCAGCACTGTGTGAGCGATGGCAGGTCAGGTCAATGCTCTTTGGTTTCATGTCCCTGCAAGCTCGGATGACTCACTGGGACGCCACACCATCAGTTGCTCAGTGCTTACCTTCTTGTGCTCTGGTTACACAGTAGGTCTACTTACTGTATTTCGTTCAGTTGACGTGTGTTAGTGTGGTTGAAATGTGCAGTTTTGTAAAAGTTTAGTGCGATGTTGGAAAAATTTAAAAATGGCTTTTAACAATTGATAAAAAGTATGAAATTCTAAAACTTTAAGAGAAAGGTGATAAGTTGTCTCATTTGGCCAAAGAATACAACGTAGGTCATGCAACAATACACGGAATTAAAAACAAAAAGGACAAAATTGAAAACCCTTGAAGCCAGGTGAGTTTCCCCAAGTAGAAGATACTATTTTTGCATGGTTCATGTAAAAAAGAATCAGACACAACTATTTAGGATGATATACTAATGGAAAAAGCCAAGTTCTTTTAAAAGAAATAATGAAAAAGGACAACTTTCGTGCAAGTGTAGGTTGGCTGGACAAGTTTAAAAGACGTTTTGGGATTAGACTGTTAAGTTTAACTGGTAAAAGACTGTTGTGCCAGGAGGTATCTATTGAGCCCTTTATAGCTTAACTCAAACAAACCGTTAAAGAAATGAACGTGACCCCTGATCAAGTATGTACTGCTGTTGAGAGTGGCTTGTTTTGGTGCATTTGCCCAAAAATAGTCCACAAAGCTTTGCCAGCGCACCTGACCGCAAGTTAGCAACACGGCAACGGTTCCATGTGTTTTAATTATGTAAATTTCCCCGTGGAATACAAAAACCAACCAAAATTATTGATGACCAAGACTCTCTTCAATGAATGATTTTATAACAGCTTTGCTTCATTAGTCCAAAACATTTTTTTAGAAAAAAAATGTTGCCCCTTAGAGCATTATTATTTTGCCTTGGGCATCCTGATGCAGATGAAATAAAGGATGGTAACATCTGTGCACTATTACCCCCCCCCCCCCAAAATGTTACCAATAAAAACGTGATCCAACCATAAAGACAACTTAAAAAAACTTTAAACTTAAAAAAAACATCTTTTGTATAGTATTTTGTGTTCTTTTTTGTCAAAAGAGGGAAGTGTGTTTATGCACTAAAGAACATTAACCTTAAAGACATTGTTTTAACTTAGCTAATGCAGTTAGCATGTGTTCTTTTTCTATGAACACATTTATTCAAACGATTTTGTGAACCAGCATGATCGAACCACGTGGACAAGGTTTTATGGGGTAAATTAGGGTTTCCCCATTTTTGACCCCCAAAATATAAAATGTTGCAATTTATTTCTTAAGTTCCTTTAACAAATTTATTTTTGAATTACCATGTTACTCTCACGGACAATAAAGAATCTATTGTAGTATGCTTCTATAGGGATATATTTGCAAATTTATTTATTTCATAATAAGGTACTGTCATAAAAACACTTTATTCTCTTCCCTGTAGCAAAAAACATAGCTTAAGTGCTCATTAAAATTAATGTTGTTTAAATGGAAAAAATCTGACGATTTCATGAGAATACTTAGGGAAAATTCAACCAAGTAAATGGAAATTTGAATTGTTTGCAGGTTTGATGCGGGTTTAAAGTGCGCTGGTAAAAAGAAAAAAAATCCAAAAATAATTCTAGACCAATGAAATGGAAACTAAAATTGTCTGTTACAAGCAATTAACCTACTAAAAATAACAGAAGAATGAAGGTGAAACAAAATAAATGATAGTTTAAAATGAAACCAAATCTAAAATATATTTTGGTACAGAACAACTACAGTAACAAACATTAACATACTCTGAGGATGGTGTGAGACTTGGGGGTGTTGCCAGTCCATTCTTGTTGTGCGTAAGACATGATGTCCAGACGATTGCCGATGTTGAGAGGTTTGAAGTGTGTGTCTGCGTTGTCTACCATTGGACTGTCGGGTTCACTGACACTACTGGTCATACTCCACATTTCAGCTCCGCTTTCACACGACTCTGACCTACACACAAACACACAAAACTGACAAAATATGTGTCTGGTCAAGATCAGGAAAGATATGTTGTTATTATAGTGCACTCCTGATTATTCGAGCCCTGGTTATCTGAGGTCGTTATGGGCCTTAACATACAGGGTGGATGAAAGTCCCAGGACGGTTAAATATTTCAAAAAGTAATAGAGTATCAAAACTTGGTACACAGTTACTGGGCATTAAGATCATTTTAACACATTATTCTAAGATGTGCTACCTCCTCAAGGGGACGGGCCCGAAAGGAGTCAGAAGAAATTCTTAAATGTCAGCATAGGATATGCAGATCAAAATAAAGGTCTTTTTAAGTAAAATAAAATGACGCAAACCCGAACTCAAACGGGCAACCATGTCAAAAATGACAGCTATTCAAATATGGCATTAAGGACAAAGAAGGTAATATTTTAGTACAGAAACAGGAAGTGGCCAACAGAATATGGAGAGAGCACTTTAAACAGTTGCTGAATGGGGAAGAAATCAATGAAGAAATCCCCAAATACTATGATGTACAGCCTCTTGTTGAAAATCCAACTATCGAAGCAGTAGAACAAGTTTTAAATTCCTGGAAGGATAAAAAATCTCCTGGAGAAGATGGTATGAAGAGGTAGTGTATCACCGAATCATGTGTTAAAATGATTTGAATGCCCAGTAATTGTGTACCAAATTTTGAAGGTCTATCTTTAATACTTTTTGAATTATTTTACCTTCCGGGAACTTTTTTTTACACCATGTATATTTCTATTTTCAGTCGGTAAACCAAGGCCTAATTACTTTATTTAGGAGTATGTTTCTATTGAAAGAAAATTAAAATAGTTATTTATTTGTGGTTTATTGAAACAAATACAGTACTTGAAATAACCATTAAGAAGTATTATTTTTACGTAAGAATGAACCGCAATAATCTTAAATATTAAAATCACATAGTACTAGTTTGGCCAGGCTACCGATGGCAAACTGGACGAGCCATCTGCAGTAGTTTGGCCAGGCTACCGATGGCAAACTGGACGAGCCATCTGCAGAACATAAACAATAGCCGTGTCAGTCTTCTTCATTACGATGTTTTGATGTAGACATGATTGTGTCTACCAAGATATAAATCAGGTCAAACTTAAACAAAATTCAATTTTATGCTTTTAAACTAAAGATCCGCATTATTGTTTTGTTTTAAATAATTTATTGGTTTAACATAATTCTAATAATACTATGTTTAAAGTTTTTCAATATGATTGAAGAAGTGTTGAACTTGTTTGTTGTGCTATTTTCTTTCTTTTATAATACTTCGTTATTTGAAAAAAATTACATTAAAAACACATTTTTTTTATTAACTAATTGTTGTTTAAAGATATATTTTACAAGACTTGTATTCGACTTCATTATAAGGCACTGTACTGTAACCCTAACCTCAAAATCTATGCGACCCACGTGTTATCCAAGATTCTTGGTAACCGAGTTAGTCTTGGTCCCAACAACCTCGGTCGGAAGAGTACTGTAGTGCCATTAATATTAGGTAATTAAGGCACTGAATTGTCTGGGTACCCGAGTGGTTATAGTGTTCACCTTCAAAGAGGCTATGAAAGTGCATAATTCTATTCAGGACCAAGATGCCATTTTGCTATTGGACTATCAATAATTATGCTATCTAACCAAAGGTCAGTGTTAGATAGTAACAAGACCAGGGTCCAAACCACAGGGTACAAAACCTGTGAATGAATTAGTGAGGGCTCTTTGTGTTGTTCTTAAGAGTTAAATTTTACTTAAAATATTAAAAGGGTAAAAAATCTTTATTTTTTTATGGTTATTCAAAACAGTTATCAATTTGAACAAGCCACCAGACTGTATTAAAAGTTAAATTTCCCAACAATATCATCAAAAAATGTACCACAGATGAGAAAAATACAGACAAAACCTTCAATGGTACACTTAAGTTGTGTCTAGCACCAGTCACTGGTGTCTAGAGCAAATTCTATTTGTCATCCCCTTCTGTTCTCCCCTTTGTCCCCCCTCGCCATCAGGGCCATTAAACAATCGCCGTTCAGGTTTTTCCTTGCTTGGTACAGATAGGCTACATTTCCGCCCCACTATTCAAGAGCTTAAAGCCCAACGTTGTCCCATAAGCTTGTATCCTCTGTATCTTACTTCTCTGTGAATGTACAAACACGAAAAATAAATAGCAGTAACAAGTACGTTGTTGAAAAGATAGAAAGATTATTATTAAAATTTGAGAGTTGTTCTTACACAAAACACATGAGAAAAGATGAAGAGGGAAATGAGATAACTGATAACAATGTGAGATGAAAGATAGGGTGGGTCCAATAAGCTACCTTCGCAATCCCAAGAACAACAAACATATTCTTTAGATCTGACTCACTTTGATCCATCTCTTAAATGGTGTTTACAATTCTAGGTTTTTACAAACGACTAACCTCATCAAATTGTTGCTGACATTATCCATGGGAGAGGGAGGGTATTCAAAACAACTGAACTGTGAGCCAGTGAGGGAAGTGGTTCCATATCCGCTCGAGTCTAGCTTGAAAGACCTGCAAAAGTACAATCCAGTGATACTTTACTAGTTCCGATTCCTTAGTTTAGCATTTATTCCTTAATAACAATCCTTGTATTGAATTGTAAACAAAACAGCCATTACTAACAATCTATATCCAGGTTTAGTGATATGCAACCTCAACTATACTAGAAACATACAACACAACAAAACTAGATGAAATCTTTCTTTTAAAAAAAGAAGAATTTTTGATGAACAATAATTATTTTATTCAAATCTTGATTTCAAATTTAGTAGGGATGGACGAGATTGGATTTTTAGTTCGAGACGAGACGAGACGAGATTTTTTATTTCTCATAAAATTTCGAGACGAGATCGAGACGAGATTTCTCTTCTCATACACAATGGGAAATGCACGTTCGAAATTTTTACCTGATTTTGTAACATTGTTAGATGACTGTTTAAATACTAAAATAATGATAATAGGCAAGAATATTTACAATCTTTCATTAAATAACATCAGCATAACATTTTTTTATTAATCACGCCTAACTTATTAAAAATGCCTACGATTAGGAAACATGGTGATATCAGTTAGGATAGAGTTCAACTTATCCTTAAATAAAATACATCATAAAATAAAAGCAATATTAATTTTTATAAAATAGTTACTTGTTTTGACTTTTTTATAGTAATAAAACATTCCTCACACTGCTTACACTTAACAAAACTTCTCAAATGTTATTAAAGTAATATTATTAAAATAATGAAAGTAATATTTACATTAAAAGAATTAAAGTAATATTTACATTAAAAGAATTAATTAAATAAGAACGCCTTCGAAAAGGAAACGCAACTACAACACGCTCCTGTATTGCGGGTATTGCATTGACTTTCTGCAGGCGTTTTTAATTTTTTTTTTTTTTTTTTTTTTTTTTCTCGTCTCGATAAAAATCTCGGCCAAAAAGTAATCTCGTCTCGTGTAACGAGATTGAAAATTTCCCGAAAATTTCCCGAAATTTCGAGACTTGACCATCCCTAAAATTTAGAAAGCATCACTGAAAAGTCGACTGATGTTGATGATGAATATGATTCAGGGATGTTTGTTAAGTGAACTTTTGGGTATGTACAAACAAAATCTCCATGCAGAACTATCAATCATGAAACAGGCATTGATAAAAAAGACAATGTCAAGAAAAATAATTTTGAAATAAAAAAAAGAAAAAAAAACCTATTATCCGGATCCAATTAATGCATCCATCCATTTGACACATATTCAGGGTTTTTTTCTTGGTTTATTGTGCTTTAATACTTGAATGTATTTAAATTCAAAATGCTCAATTCAAAGCTTATTAACCAGGGTTGCCCGTAAATTAAGGTCTCAACTAAAGTTTGATTATTTAATCTGGAATTTAAAAATACGGACAACTCTGATTCCCAATTAGTATGAGAGTATTAATAAGGAACTGTATTTTAATTCAAAATTAATGGTTGAGAATTTTATTCATAATTTTAACTGAACCATATATTAGTAACCGAGTAATACCTTAAAACTTAAGATACTGACTGGTTTGGACTGACAGGGGTTGCAACTTTCCAATTGTTCTCTTCATCAGGACAATATTCCTCATCCCACTCCAAACTAGGCAGTCTCTCTTCGTCTAGTTGTGCCAATCCAATCTGGGTACTCGACTGAGGGGAGTCCTCATCCAATGACAGGTCCATGGATATGCTGCGGTTGATTGTGGTCAAACTGTACAGACCTATCACAAATAACTGATTAGAATAGTTAACATTTCAGGGTGAAAGTTCATACACAATTTACGAGACTATCAATTTTTTCAGTTTTGATAATGTTGACTAATATAAGTATTGTTTTCATTAATGAATTCCATTTCATTAGCTATACATACAAATTTACTTAATATAAGAGGTTTGATAATGTTTTAATAGCTCTTTTAAATATGGTTTCTGATGAAAACTGTATAATTTTAAGTTTGTATTTTACAAACTATTGTTCCACAATTGAAATCAATGACTGGCATGCATTAACACTGGTTTAATAATGTATATGATTCCAACTAATGGTTGTTTTGTTATGATGATAAAAAAAAAATTCAGAAGAAATGACAATCTACTTGGGTGTGTTGCTAGCCTAGCCGTAAATGTCTTAGATTGCAGGCAAGAGAAACAGGTTCATTCCCGGCATATCCACAAAACATTTGAGAGATTTTAACGGCTTTCCTTTAAAATAAGAGATGTGTGAGCAACACATGATGGCTTCTTTGTACCTGTGATCATGCATTTTGCTTCTTTTTGCTCATTCTTAAAATTTATTATGCCGTTATACATCTGAGACTATGTATCAACTAAATTTTCTAAAATATATGCTATCTTCATAGGTTTTATTATTTTTTTTTTTTTTTTTTTTTTTTTGGAAATGCAATGGCTTATGATTTCAAAGTAGTTTATTTTTATAACACTGAACTATTTTCTATTGCTATATTCTATTTTCTAATTGCGAAAAAAGTTGATGAAGAACAACTGACCTTTAAAACAAGCTTTAGCACTCTGCCTCCTGACAATGTCTTCAATAGTCATCTGTCCTTCTTGTGGTTCGGCAGCCTCCATCAGATCAGACAGTCCTGGCAGATTGCGGTTGCACTTGACTGTCTCAAACTCCTCATCCATCAGCTGACAGTTGGACTTGAGTTGATCAATCTCTTCTTGCAACTTGTCTAATCGGGTGACAGTAGGATTCTCTGCAGATTGTTCAGTGAAGGATGGCATGTCGAAGCTCAGCTCTGATGACATACTGTCGATGGAACCTTCACGCCGTGTGCGATAGAAGAGTCCCAGAGAATCAAAAGATAGGTCTCGTGAAACAGAATGACGGGTATGTGACATTGGGCTTGAGTTTGTGGACGAGGTGCCTGTGCTGTTCCCGTCTCGAGGTGAATACCTGTTATTGCATTTGTCTTCATTGTTGTTGCCCACCTGTAAGGATCCCAAAGCTTAAAACAATTTGTAAGATGGACATTTATATTAGTGATGATCAAAACTAAATGCTTATTAGTACCTACAAAATATAGAACTGTCTAATGATAACACACGTCAATGTTTTTCTTCCAGCTACCTTGCTCTGATCCAATGTAATAGGATTTACTTACTTGAAAACACCTTTACATTGGGCTCTGCCCCAGCGGCCTTATTCTCTTTCCAACTAATGGAGGAAAAATGGCGTTTTATGGCAGCTACTTTGAGAGAACGACTGGGTATAGAAACTTGGTAGAGGTGTCTAAAGAAAGGTCTTGGGTCGGTTCATGACTATCAAAAGAGAAACTAGGTAAATTCCCTTGGGGCTCTGCTCCAGTGGCCTATACAATTTTGTGAACAAAATTTGTTTACATTAAAACCGTATGGTTATTTTACACTATCATTTTCTGAAACAGCTGTTAAAAATAAATAGTATTTCAAAGGTTACTGTTATAAGCAATTACTGAATTTGTCAAAATGAAATATTTACATTGTTTTTGTGAATTATAAACTTATTATCTACTGCATGGGCCTAATATGTTTTTTCAATAGCTTGAAAGAAAATGTGTATTTATGATATATTTTCACAGTTTTTTGTTAAAATCTATGCTTCTATTCACTAAAATAATATTATATTACGTAATCAGTGGAACATATCAATATCATAGGAACTGTTAATTCCTAATCGGGTTGGGTTAATCAACAGTATTGTAGGGGTACTTGCCTTTTTGGTCTACTTTCAATGATAATTACACTCAAGAAAGAGGTTCATGAGATCATTAATTGTTAACAATCAAAGATGGGAATTTACTAATAAGATCAAAATAGGACCTGAAGATTTTTATTTAAGGATATGGAACCAGTTATCTGTAATATTAACTCCCTCTACCAGACGACAGACCCAATAATTTCATATTATCTTCTTTTCCCGTATGGTTAATGAGGCTTTAACATGAACAAAGCTCTTGAACAAGAAGCAATGTAGGATTCAGAAAACCTTTTGGACGACCTGTTGCCGATGAAAGAACCGGAAATATTGTATCCAACGAATTCATCAACCACATTTTGTATGATAGTTGGCTGAATTAGCGTGAAACCTCAAGAGGAAGCGTCGATTTCATTCAATGTTGTTTTCTTGTTTACAGAGTAATCCACTATTTAACATTCATCACTAGAGGTTAACGGTAAGAATGGACCATGAGGTACTAAGTTCACCTCAATAAAGAAAGATTTTCATTTCATTAATTTCAATTTAATTTAATTTAATTTAATTTCATTCAATGAAAATCTAAAAACACATATTAAATAATGAATATAATACCTGTAAGTTAGCCGGTGTCAAAGATTGAAGCCTTTGCAGCAACCATCCTTTGCGAGAGTTCACCGATGGAGGAGAGCTCAGTTTTGACTTCCTTCTTCTTTCTCTAGGCCATTGTCGCCAACTTGACTGCTCCTGCAGGAAAAAGTGAAAATTTTTTACTTTGTGAATTCAATTTGATGTATAAAATGAAAATGAGGCCTTCGCTCTACTACATGTTTGTCTTGCTGTGGTTATTATGGGAGATAGCGGTTAAGATACTGGAAACATTGTGTTTAATATCATACAGGTTGCGTAAACTGTCCTTACGAGCCTTCTAAAGGCGCTAAAGTACATTTTAATTATTTCTGATGCACTATGTAACGTATATTTAGATGACAATGACTTTATTAGTTGTAAATTATTGATCTATTTCTTTCAATTGCTGTATAATAGCCCTTACCTAAAGTAAGTTACAATTTCAATTTTTTACGTTTGTATTACCTTTACATGAATAGAGAGAATGTTTTTAGTTAAGAGTTATAAAAAAAAGCCGACAACTAAAACCCGATAAAAAAAAAAAAAACGGAACCAAAACCGAACTGATAAAATCAGCAACCGAGCCATAACTACATCATACACAGTAAAACCTATTATCAAAGTTAGACCAATTATCAATGGTAAAGAGGGGACCAGAGTCATAACGAATTAGCAGATAAACTGATTTCACAGATTTTTGGGGTGTACACAGTTAATAAAATCCGCAATACAGGAGCGAGTTGATGTTACTACGTTATATGTTTTTTTATTATACTATTTACTACAAAAGTATGGGTAGACACACTACTTACGCCTACTGCTGCAGCAGTGAAATCATGACAGTTGGACATTTCACTTTCAGAATAGTTATCATCATTCCCATTTACAGGTCCAAAGTAACGGGTCTGTAACATTAAGTGATATTTATCATACTTTGAATAATACACAACTATTTAAATTCAGTTTACTCTATACATGAAGAAAAGAAACTGATCCTTGATGAGAAGACTTACAGTTAGTAAATATACCTATATCCTTCCTACAAAAGCTGAAGTAACATCACACATTTAAAGATTAATAATCTGATCAAAAGACAACTGATTGACTTTATACTGCCCAACATCTTAAACATACGATCTTCAAAATTAAGAGCTTACATAGAAGTAAAACTTCATACTTCCAAATTTTCTAATTGATTTGATTGAGCTACTAGTACACCAACCCCTGTCTTTATGTCATTAAGTACCTATTGTTAAGGAAATGGGGTGTTTGTCAAGTAGGCCTAAAGAAAAGAATAATGCGGCAATGAAAAATTCTAACTAACCAATTTGGGCTTAAACCCTTCTTAACACAGTAAATATCTACCATATAAAGGGAAATGAAGATCTAACAACAAAAAAAGACAATTTTATTTTAACTAAAGGTTAGCCATTCTGATATTTTCAGTCAAGCCTATAGAGGTGATTTTTACAACAAATCCAAAACTTACCTGGACGTTTAAGAAGTCATTAACAGTAGATGGTGTTTTAGACGAATGGTGGTAGCTGAATGCAGGGGTGCCCTCAGCAAAAGAAGAGGGAGAAGATGGGTTAATGTCATCTCTTCGAGCTAGCCCAATCCTTTGAAAATGTTGGTACAACCAAACTTTGTACAGCTTATAACATAAGTAGCTGCCGATTCCCAGAAGAAGAAATACACCTGTTACCTTCACTGAAACAATAAAGATAAATATTTAGCAAATTTAACCATTGATTATATACTTCAATAGATTAATTCACTGAGTAATGTATTAGTTAGTGAACATAATCAACAGCAATTCAGGCAGCAGGGAGTGGGTACAAATTAATCAGTACCAGCCAATGTCATAAAACAATGTGCAATTGCTTTGAAAATGCTTCAAGTATTCTCTTTATTCTTTGTATTACCAACTCTGCCCATTCAATTGAATGCTATTGATAAGTTGTCTATGGTAGCAACTACATCAAAGCCCCATTAATCGAAACCCTGCTAATCCAAACCACTTGTTGGAGAGAAAGGGTTACAACTATATTTGTATAATAAAGGGAGAAAGCTGTTCTGAAATACAAAGCAGGGTGTCCAGCATGGAAAATCAAGACAACCAAGTGTTGTAAAGGTGCTACAGGGGCTGAAGAAAGTACCAAACGGTTTTTAGGAGGATATTGCCTACAGTATGGTCACAAATTTAAGAATGCAATCATCATAGTTTAAGTTTGTAAAAATGTCTACTTGCTTATGGCAAAAAACAGGTTAAATGGGAGTTTTTTTATGATTGGAGACAGTTTTAGGCGTAAAAAATTGCTTTAGAAAGTCACTAAACTACTTTTAAAATACAAACAAATTTCCGGAGGAGGACCCCCAGACCGCCCTCTTATATTGGGGGGGGGGGCCTGGGAGCCCCCCTTGACAAGGTCCTAGAACCACCACTGACCTGCCCCCCCCCCCCCTGAAAGTTTGTCCTGGCTACGGCCTTGGTCCATCTATGTGGCAGAAGATGTAAGGCCTCAAGCTGGGGTAGCGGTTATGTGGTCGTTGGGGAAGGGTGGCCACCAGTGAGAAATTATGCGGTAGTGGCTATTAGTGCCATAGCGCGTAGCGGTTAACCCCGTGAGTGGCTTATACCAGGCTTGCCAGGTTTTATTATGTCAAAATTGCATGCAAAACAGATAATGACGCGGGAAACTTTAATTTAATCAATACCGGTATTTAAATTAAATATTAACAAAACAACATATAATTTTCTTGTTGATATCACATATTCAACAGAAAACTACACTGTTAAGCAATAACACCTTTTTGCCAACCTTAGTGGATAGTTAAATCAATTCCAACATATGCTTTTTGTCTATCTTTAGAGGCTGTTCATTATGAGCAAAATTCTTGTATTATGTATTATGTGAGAAATTAGTAAAATACCATTTTAATGACATAAACAACACTGTTTGTACATGTGATGAAGGTACCTTCAAGAATTTTCAAAGGTCAGTGACGAGGGTACAAATGTCACTATCAATCAATAATCTATAAATTTAGGCATGTTAGATGCAAGGGCGGTCCCAGGGGGGGGGGGGTCAGGGGGGTCATGACCCCCCCAAAATATTTTTTATATACATAAACTATTATACCAGGAAAACATTAATAATTTTTGTTGCAAATCGTTTAACCAAATTGAAATTCGTTGTAGTCAAGATACGTTGAGATTCGTTGTCACTGTAGCGAACAAAAGGTCTAATTACAAAGACTCAAAACTTAAAACTTGGGATCGTTCAAGTCTGATTATGTTTTTGTACGTTATGATAAGTAGGGAAGATCGGCAGACAACGGACGCTTTCAGCCATATATGGCAACGGCAATGTCCGATGCTGACGTTCGACGTTCGGCTGCATTCTTCTTCTTATTTAATTTTTCAGCATTTAATGTTATAATTCATTTTAACCCAGATGATTGAAAACTTGAATTGGGCATTGGATAAAGAAAAAAAGTTGTATCAATAGTCAAAGTTTGAAAGGTAGTTGAATATTAATTTATCTGAGTTCAGCGTTAGGAATTTTTTATTACAGTAATGTAATTCAATGATTACCGTAGCAAATTTCAAAACTTTCAATATTAAATAGTATTCATATTTAGAGCACCTGATATCATATTTAAGAATAACACAACCCAATTGACATGTTGCTAGCCAAAAAACAACAACAAAGTGGTAGTGTCTCAGACTTAGATGCGGAAGGGACGGATTTAATTCGGAGGGTTTTATATCGTTGTTTAATTCCCGGCACAACCACAAAAACGTTGCACAAAAACTTTATTCTCACGTTGACCCCTTGTAAAATTCCACTGGTACTGGCGTAGAAAAAATTAGAACACTGAGAACCGATTCTTCAGGCGGTAGCAGTGACGGGACGCTGACGCAACGTTAGTTGGTAGTGTACTTTGTGTAGGTTAAGTTGCTTACTGGGCAGGTATAATGCAGTCGTGTTTGGTGCAAGATCTTAAATACTTCTTAGATAAAATAAGTTCTCTGGTTTGAAATCTTGGTCTGATTTTGGACATTTTCTGTTTAGCATGCACATCGGCACCAGTTGAAAGGGTGTTTTCGTAAATAAATAATGCTTGAATGTGTTGTAATGTTGCGGTATTCCTTTGATATTAAAACCACAAGTCTCAATAATGCAAAAACATGACATTATACAAGTTTATTTTTAGACATTTCTTTGACCTTTTTAAACTGGGAAGCTTGAACACATTAAACTAGGTTCTCAAAATAGCTTAAAAACCACTCATTTTAGCACGTTATTTCCACATTTTTTCCCGGACCCCCCTCCTTTGCTGGGCCCCCCCCCCCCAAAATATATGTCTAGGACCGCCCTTGGTTAGATGGGAATTGAATGAATCATCAATAATATCTAAAAAAAACACTTGGGAGTTGGGAGAGTTGCACGGAATTGTGGGTTAGGAGTGAGCTGGTGATTTGTTGCACCGTTTTGATGGACGTCACAAATTAATGAGTTATTTACAATAATACGTAAATTTGGGACAAACTTTACACTGCACCATTCATTCACATCTACTACAGTTACAACAACAAGTGAAATTCTTTGTTGCAATTATTTTGAATAGGCTACTAAAATCCCACTAATCAAAAGGATTTAAGACCGGGTTTGAAATTATAAAATTATAATGTTTCCCGTGAATTACATTTAAAACGAAGCTAGAAATGTGTTAAAATTAGTGATGGGCGGATCCAAGAAAATGTCGGTATCGGATCCGGATCTTGAAAAATTTGGATCCGGATCCAGATACACACTGTCATAAGGGCGGGTTTAAACAAACGTAATTAACAGAATGCCAATTTAAATCATACGGTTTAAAATTATATTGGTAATGTTTAAATGTGTTAAATACATCTTATATATATAGAGTAATCTCCAGTTGAGCCCATAATCCCTCATTTTTTGGGGACACTAAAACTTTTCAAAATCATAAAATGAAACTTTGTCCTAAAATGTATCTGTGTATATATTACTATAGTTCAATCTTGAGTATGCTATATCATGGTTTTTGCATGCAGCATCCAATTTATTTATGCCTGGATCACCTCTTGTTAATCTCTTCCTTAACAAGAGTGGACCTGGAAACAAATTAAAGGAAGAGATAAGCAAGGGAGGATCCAGGCATACAAGACCGATTTTTCCCCGATTTTTTTTTAATAACACAAAGCTGTCTGTATCCATGTACAACACCGATTAACCGGATAACACGGCGGTTAAAATTATTACCAGTGGAAGTGCATATGCCCAGCTATCTTTACTGTGAACCTGGAACAAAATTTGGCGGTAAAAATTGTTACCGGTGGAAGTGTATATGCGCGGATATCATTAATGTGGACCCGGAACAAAATTGAAAAAACGGCTATATACAGTACTGTGTATTTGCTCGACTCTCGATAGTCCAGATTTTTCGTAATTGGGACCGGACGTCCGCCACATTAGTCCAGATGAGCGTACATGGATACTACACAGCTTTGTGTTAGTAAAAAAATCGGGGAAAATCGGTCTTGTACATGGATACAGACAGCTTTGTGTTAGTAAAAAAATCGGGAAAAAATCTGAAAAAATCGGATCCATCAAAATCAGACCCAGCCCAAGATTCGGAATTTTTGGATCCGATCGGGTGCCGGTTCTAGCTCGGATTCGGTGGATCCGGTAGTCCGATATCCGGATCCGACCATCACTAGTTAAAATTAAAAGCTTGCTGCATTTTAAATTATATTTACCTATGTAGTTCGTCGTAGGTCGTCAGGGATACCCCTACACTCGGTGTCCGTCTTACCATATTTTGCCTGTTCAACTGGGCTAAAAATAGACCCTCACCCTAAGGTTTTACTTTAGTCGGAATGTTTATACTAAGTGAATTTAAGATTGGCGGGGTTTTAAGAGTATGCCTAATTGATTAGAAACACAACAATTAAATATGGTACTAAGGTAGTAGGGGAACTCAAATTTGTGTTGTTTTTGCTGTAAATCCAACATTTTTAGCTCTAATGACGTCCTAATCAGAAAACAAAACTTATTCTCTCACTTTCTTTCGCTATCTTGTCAAGCGATTCTCGACCTTCTCTACACTCGCCAAAGGAGAGTGCAGTGCAAGTAACTTGAGACATTTGCCAGTCTCATATTTGACATACGGTTCATATTGGACGAGCACAGTTTGGACAAATGCTGCAGTTCAAGCGATATTAGACCTTCCGTCGGTTATCACACCGCCGGCAAAAAGCCTTAATACTTCATAGAGAGTAGGATTAATGAACAATTATTACATTACATTCAAACACTAGACATACAAAATTGATTAATTAAGAATAGACACAACATCCTTTGTCAACAGATGAAACTGTCAAATTATGTAAAGAGTATGTCTAAATTGCTTTGAAGTTTTGTCACTTTCAACTTATATAAAAATAAGTTTATATACCTTGACAAAATACAAATCATACACTACCGTGTTGGTTATTAACATATAATACAGGGTGATTGATATAAGTGTGCCAGCCGTTTTATTCGAAAACTATAAGAGATATCAAAAAAAGTTAAATGGTAAGTCCCTTGGATTTTTTATTAAAAAAATTGTAGTCAAGTCAAAAAAATTATTTTAGCCGCCATTTTTCCAATATGGCCACCAACTTTGATTTTTCTTATGGAACACCCTGTATTTTATGATGTATTCTGGTAGAAAATGTAATTTTAAGACGATTTTATTCTTGTGATTTTTTTCATAAACCTAACCGTTTCAAAGATAATAATGGTTAAAGTTTTGAAATTTCTGCATGAGAAAGAGTTTCGATAAAGGCCGAAGCAAGCATGCCAGCTGTTTTATTCGAAAACCATTCAAAATTTCACAACTTAAACCATTATTATCTTTGAAACGGTTAGGTTTATGAAAAAAATCACAAGAATAAAATCGTCCTAAAATTACATTTTCTACCAGGATACATCATAAAATACAGGGTGTTCCATAAGAAAAATCAAAGTTGGTGGCCATATTGGAAAAATGGCGGCTAAAATAATTTTTTTGACTTGACTACAATTTTTTAAATAAAAAATCCAAGGGACTTACCATTTAACTTTTTTTGATATCTCTTATGGTTTTCGAATAAAACTGCTGGCACACTTATATCAATCACCCTGTATATTTAAAATTTCCTCTAAATCCCAGAAGTATTGGACATCCGTAAACAATAAGAACTGAAAAACAAAATTGCTTGTCTGAGTTGTCAATCTAGACGAGCGTAGCAGACAGCCGAGACATTAGACCACAGATGCCACTGGACATAGAGTTTAGAGTTGTTATATTCAAGCATTGCGTCATCGTTCGGAAACCGAGCTCTGACGTAGTAAAACACTAGTAGCACAAATCCTGGTCCTGGGCTGGACGGCTTCGAGAAAATGGCGCTCGTACCCTGTCCTGTTCATAACATGCTGATTTTGCTTTTTACGCCCATACATTTTTCCGGTTGGAGAAATATTTTACACGTGTTCTGTTTGACTCTCAATAATTTTTGAATATTTAAAATAAAAAAATCGATCCCAGAAAAATTCCAGCACATTACTGCCATAATTACCGTATAATTCCCACATAGTTCCCGGTTGATAATATTCCCGTAGCCTATAATTCCCGCTTTTTACGGTGTTCCCGGTTGCTGGACACCCTTTGAGTTTCCCAAAAAAAAAACAGTTAGAACTAAATCTAAATGGTTAATAAAACGGTTGAAAAAGAAAAGTACTCACCCGATTTGTAGGAAGACGTTGCAGAATGGGAGCAAATTGGAAGCTTTCCAACAAGCCCTAGACCAGCAACCACGGTTTCCCAATCAACATCCGTTCCCGAGCTTGGGCTGGAGGGTGGTGACTCCGGGAACCAGAACCCACACCACTCCACGTCCACCTGTTGAAACACAAAAATATTTTATAAAACATTAATTTTTTGTTCAAACTACCTATACACTATTAACTTTGTCATATACCGGGGTGACAATTAGGTCTTAGGACATTATAACTTTAAACCCTAAAGAGATATCACAACAAAATTTGGCATATCATTGTAACTGGTAAGAGTAAGCTACTTTTTTGTGTACATGGTGATCGCATGTCACCTATGGGGAACTGCCCATAAAGTGTAAGCTTAAAGTCTTAAAGGCATAGGTTAATGTGGTACTATCTCAAATTAAAAGTCTTGACTTGTTGAACTTAAAACAATGCCACAAACCGTACCTCAAACAAACAACCGAGTCAAAAATGACAGCTGTTCAATGATTCATTTAATTTACAATGCTATCATACGCCAACTCCTCACGGGGGCGCCCGCTAGAAGACGGAAGAAAATCTGAAACGGAAGCAAAAGTTGATATGCACATCACATTAAAGGTCTTGATTAGTAGAATACAATGTCGCAAATTTGGGCTCAAAAATACACTTGAGTAAAAGCCGTTTAAAGATTCAAAATGTCAGATTCAAGAAATCTTTGAATGGCTGTAATTTTTGACTCGGTTGTCCGTTTGAGGTGCGGTTTGCGGCATTGTTTTTGGTTCAACAAGACCTTTAATTTAATTTAACATGTTAACCTATGCTTAGGTACCTTTAAGATTTTCCACTTACTCCCTATGGGCCGTCCCCCATAGGTGACATCCGATCATCATATACACAAAGAAGAAGTAGGCCTGGCTTCAACTCTTACCAGTTAATGATATTATATTAAATTATATGCCACATTTCGTTGTGAAATCTCTTTTTTTGTTTTAAAGTTATAAAGTTGTCCCAAGACTTAATTGTCACCCTGTATATAAATTGTTAATGAAGAATTGAAAAAAGATTATGAAGACTGGAATTTAAGATGGAACCCAATGAATAAAGTGACAATTAATGAATTTAATTAAGTTTGTAGCAAGGGACCTCGGATCAATGGCAGCAATATGGGTTCCGATCCTAATACCTAACACTAACACTACATTTTATCAGTACAGTTCAACTCTGGGACCCTCTTGATACAATTATGTACAGATAGATACAGATCTGAGCCCTATGTGACAAGAAAATGCAAGGTTAAAAGAGGCCACTAACCTCTTGTTGATTATAAAACAATCTACCATCACTTAAAGTAATCTACCATCACTTAAAGTTTATCTGACTTAGCCTAGAACAATATTTGTAGTTAATTATGTTCAAATCAAATCAAACATAATTTATTCCATGAACCAAAAATTAGAAAACAGTAATTCTTGTTTATTGTCTACACTTGGTTGAAAATTGTTTGTGATAGAACAATTTATGCCTACATTAGATATTCTAAGATATTTCATGATCACAAAGTAAATAACACCATTAACCAGAATACCCTACATTTAGGCTTGAACTTAAAATGAAGGTAATCATGATTACTTGTTTTCCTTTTTTAATCCTTTTGTCCTTTACTGCACACCTTCTTTATTGAGGCGAACTTAGGACCTCATGGTCCTTTCTTACAGTTAACCTCTAAAAAACTAATGATAACAACAAAATAATAACAAAAATTACAACACAGTTTGTAACAAAACAAGTTATAAAATATCATAATCTATTTAACCTTCCCTAACATACATTCACACACACACACATACACCCTCTGCTGCATCTAGGCCTAACGCACGCCATCCCGCCAAGCCACGGCCATCCGGTCAAGGTAATATCCTTTCAGCGTCACCATCAGTCGTGATCGGTTTTACATCACATCACACGTAACTTAACATAACAAAAGTTCAATCCTGAAAATGCATTAGGCCTACATCATTTTAAGTTATTGTTAAGCTTAAGTTCTTGTTAAGCCTACCTAGCAGACAAATCTTGAATGTAGGCTATTTGTTATTGATTAACTAATCCACAAATTGTCATGCATGTAGATTGTAAAATGTCATTATAACTTATGTCATATAAACTGTTTAAAAGTGGGCTACATAAGTCTAATAAGTTACTGTATGAATAAATTCCTACCTTCCATGACAACAGTTCCAAACATGGTCGGGACTCTAATCCTGATCGGGACCACTCCATACTAATGGGCTACACCAAGGCCTCACTGCCATGACATGTCCTGGTCGATGGACTCCATGCTCCTGTAGACAACAAGACCATTTAACAAAGTACAAGTTACGGTTTCAACTGTCGTTCTAATAATTATCAAGACCTTTATTTGAAACCTATTCTGTTAAATGCAGAATGAAATAAGCTTTCCAAAGGTACCAAATAGAAATTAATATTTATAAACGTGTTCTCGTAAAGCTAATTGTTAGAACTGCTACCTTTCTCACAGTGAACATTAGGGCAGTGAAACATTATGTCTAATATCTTTATAGGTGCAATGTTAAAATAGCTGAGAGGTATAAATAAATACTTAATGATTTGATGCAGACAGTGACCTTTAATAAGTAAGTAATTACCATATGGACATATATACGGAGAACTATACGGTAGTTGTATAATTTAAATAATTCAAAATGTAAATTGAATATTTTAAACATAGTCTAGGGCCAGGAAATTTTTATCTTTGCTGTGTTTTCACTATTAAGTCTAAATATGTGTTAATTGGTAAGTTTTAAAATTATAGCCTATTTAACTATGGGTACATGCATTACAAAATGTTATCGTAGAAAGAAAAACAAGTTTAAAAGTACATTACACACTTGAATGATATTCTAAAGAGTTCAAAATAATGAACTATCTTGCTTATATTACGTATTTAAATTGAAGTCGGTTATGCAATAAAATTATTTACAGTAATATACAAAATCTTTATTAACCCTTTGAGTGCCAACGTCCGGGGAACCGGACGTTTTTAAAATGCCGACGTCCGGCCGACCGGACGTTTTTAGAACGAGCCAAAAGTGCCAACGTCCGGCTGACTGGACGTTTCGTAATGATCGAACAGTTGTCATAACAACCGAATGGATATTCGGATTCTTTTAACCCATATATTAACATTGAGTCGAAAGTTACTAGATGCGATACATCGATTTTCGTTGGTCGAAATATCGAAAATTCGATTTTTACAAAATTTTAACCTAAAAATCGCCAGATCGCGCTCGGCATTTTTAGCGCGACCTTCGGGAAAAATCATCGACATTTTTTGAGCGTTACTTTTATTTCTCGCCTGGCACTCTAAGGGTTAAACAACTTACTCGTACGTAAAACAACGTAAACAAATCACACGCTAAGTTTGAAGTCAAATAAATAATAACGTTTTATACATTCCTACACCAAATTGTTTGACACTCTTTAATTTACAAAATATTAAAATAAACATTTGCAAGATAGTTAAGTAAATAAACATTAAGTGGCTTTTATTAATAGCCAACCATTATTATTTAAATACTATTTAAAGTAACAACAGATTTATCAGTAAAGAAAGTTTGAAACCCGGATGTACGTAATAGTGCAAAAAAATCAACAGCCCTATTATACGCGAAACGTTTAAAACCTGGGACTTCAACATATCTGTTTTACTGGTTTGCAAAATCAAAACTAACTTTGTACAATGTATTAAGACTTGTTACACTATAGGAACTCACACTCTTAAGTTGGAAGTTAAATAAATATAAATTACACAGTTTTAGACCTTCCTAATTAAAATCGTTTGAGGTTCATTGATTATTCACATAATTTAAAAAATAAGTGTACGAAATAATTCACTGGTATTACAAAAGTTATGCCTAAAAGGTGTACCGGTAACTACTTAACAACTACCTAGTAAAACAATTTTCTCCTGACACATTTTTGTACATCCTTTGATGATCTTTGTTTCTTACGCGCAATTGGAAGAGATAAGTCAACAAAACTAAAACTTTAAGGCTATGTGAAGAAATATTTAAAGAAATCAGCAGAATAAATAATAGTTGCTAGACAGAACAATAAAACAAGTCTACTGCAATGCACTGCTTGTGTACCTAATACACATTCATAAATTAAGGAACAACTGACTTTTGGCCCTATAGGGATGTAAAAACCTGCTCGGTCAAAAAGTGACGACGACACAGCTGGCATGGGCAGCAAAATTTACCTTTCAGCCTCCAATTAACGTTTGTAAAACAGCTAAAAACCTCATAGTGAGATGAAGAAATTAATTATTTATGTTCTGTGTGCAACTACAGCTGTTGCACCTTGCTACAATTGATTACGTATAATTTTGCTTACGTACTATAAATTTGGCAATGGACAACATACTAGAGACTATGAAAATGTAAAAAATTTGATATTCAGCGAGTAATTCGGATAATTTCTCAGGATGAAATAAATATTTATCCCTCGTCTTTACAGCTACTACTCCAATTTTTTGCCGGTAAAAGAATTATACAATAATTTATTGTCTTTTTTAATTTTCAATTGAAATATTCTTTATTTATACATTTGTACAATGGTGTCAAAGTTTACAAAAAGAAATAGAAATGACGACAATCCTATATATAACCACCGTTAGGCTATACTATTTTTTTTCTAAATTAAAAGTAAATTACTCAATGTTTGTGGTATGTAAATTCATTTTCTGACCAATTGATTAAATTTTATTACACAGGTTATTATTATTAGCGTGTATTACATAGGCTTCTAATGTAATACGCAAGCAGTTTTTTGTGACAATTACTCTGCATTTCTAAAACAGTTGTAGGTAATATTCAAAAAGGAATTCTTTGTAGAGGGTAGTTTTAACTATAAAGGACTTCTTGCTTAACCATCTTTTGATTATTTAATATATTATTAACTAAATAATTATAATAACTTAATGTTGATAATGTCCTAGGTTGTTAATACATGATTATTTTAATAACATTGTGGTCTTTAATATGCCATGAAAATAACGAAAAGTTAAAAGACCTAGGTATTCGTACAAATGGTACAATTTAAACGCCGACCTGCCACCCATAGTCTTGGCCTATAAACACCAAAGCGATACGTTACGTTCTCTTCCAGCTTGGAGTTGAGTAAATAGTGGAATTTGACGAGCAGGAAGAGCAATTGACATGCGCGCGCTACACTGCGGGAAAAATGTAAACTAGGGCACCCGTGCAACAACCTTCCCATATCCTTCTTCACTCTGTTAATATTACTTCTCTGTGGCCTAGGTAATATAATCCCGGGATCAGCTGAGACGGATCCCGAAATTGGATTGAAGGCCCGGGATTGAGACCCCTAATTACAAGATCTAGCCTCTGTCCCATCACCTGGTCGACAGAGTGTTGTATTTACACGACCCCGTTTTCTGCGCCCGACCTGAGCTCAGTGAGTTGCTTTCCTTCGTTGAAGAATGTCATATTAGCTAAAAAGCAGTTTTTTTTTAGTTTTCAAAGTGTAAAGCTTAATGGCTCCGTATTTATCGAAGTGGCAAGTTGTTGGATTAGCATTATCAACTGCATTGGCGGCGTGCAAAACAGAAGGAGGAAAAAGAGGATGTGGATGAAACAGATTTACCTCCTAAGACCTGAAATTGAGTCGTGCAAGACTTATGGACGTATTGGATGCTGAAGACCTCCCCGGAATTTCAAACATATGACACTCACAATTTTCACTGATTTCCTCAATATGGGACCTCGTGTAAAAAAGTACAATAGCCTAATTATTCGTGAAGCAGTGAAGAATTTTGGATTCTTACGTCCGATCGGCGATTTAGAGTCCCCGAGATCGGGTTGTGTAAACTGGGCTTAAATTAAGGGTACGGTACTGGAAGGAGGGAAAGAATAGTAGGATCAGATAAGTTAATTTATGCTCTTTGATTCTTGATTGGTATTGATTAAGGGGGGAGGGAGTATTGGAAGACCAGGGAATCACACGTGTCCTGGTAGGACTATCAGGGGATACGTGCTCTAAAACTTAAGTTAAGACATTCAGCCAACAGTAATTTATTTTTAGTTAATTTTAGGCATAGGCTTAATTTATTTATTTATTTATTTATTTCCCAACGGTTTACACCAGTTTACAAGAATGTATACAATATTAAAAGATGGCAAAATCATGCAACAGTGAGTGGTAACAGCAAGAACATAATTAATGAACAAAAATTAACAAGTAACATGTAAATAGATACTATATAATAACAATCTTGAATAACAATAACAATAGCAATAACAAAAATAACAAAATAGACAAGGAAAGATGATAAGTTAACAATAAAAATTAGAAGCAGTGAAGATAGTTTTGGATAATAGTACAATGTGGCAAAAAATTTGATTTTACAAAAACATAGCATGAGAGGTGATACTTGGCAGCAACAACAGGAACGATTAATTATGACTAGAGCTAAGGAAGGTAAGATTCTACAGTTAGTGACTAGAATTATTATCACTTAAGCAGGGAGGCGACCTTTCTCCGGAACGAGGACAATGAGTCGTGGAAGAAGTCCAGGTGGATTGCGACATCACTCCCAGTACGTAGAAGTCTCGAAAGGCCGCTGTTAGCTGCATAGTAGGTGGGTTGGTAGCGTCTACGGAATATCGTTTTGGAACGGGTTCCTGTTGGTATATGCAAGTGGATGCCGCAGAGTAGATCCGGACAGTCCAGGAGGCCATTAACCAACTTGAAAAGTGTCAGTAGGTCCGAGTGTTGCCGCCTCACGTGGAGAGGGGTGAGGCCAAAAAGAGATTCGACCTCACTCACAGGAGTACATAGGTAGTCAAACCCAAGCCTACATCCAAGAAGTCTGACGAAGCGGCGCTGGATGCTTTCCAACTGGTTAATGTGGTTCAGTTGATGAGGGGACCAAATTGTGGAACTATACTCAAGTATTGGACGAACAAGGGCTTTATATAAGGTCACGAGAGTAAGGGGAGAGTTGAAACCCTTTGTTGATCTTAGGATGAATCCAATCATAGAGTTTGCTCTTGCAGTGATGTGCGTAATGTGCTCCATTGGATTTAGAGATGGTGTCATAATAACTCCCAGATCTTTAACTTTGGAAACCCTCTTCAGAACTGATTCATTGAGTGTGTAGTCGTGTATTAAGAAGTCCGAACCCCGTTTGAATGAGATAACTACACATTTGTCGACATTCAACTGCATAGCGTTATTTTTGCACCAGTCTTCAATGTTGTTGAGAGAGTTTTGGAGATAAATTTTGTCACGGTCACTTGATATCCTACTAAAGACCTTCATGTCATCTGCAAACATGAGAAATTTTGAACCTATTACAAACTTGATGTCATTTATGAATAGGCTAAAGAGTAACGGGCCAAGGTGGGACCCTTGAGGAACACCAGACAATACTTTGAATGGGCGTGATGAACTGCCATCGCACTTAACAATAAGATGTCTTCCTTTTAGGTAACTATCGATCCATTTAAGCAGGGAGCCACAAACACCATAGCCATCAAGCTTAGCTATCAGAAGGCGATGATTGACCTTGTCAAATGCCTTTGACAGGTCAAGATAAATGCAGTCTACTTGGCAGGAGTCAACGAAGGCACCCATGATAACATCTTGAAATTCAAGTAGGTTGGAGATGGTGGATCGGGAGCGAAGGAAGCCTTAAGTAAGTCTTAAGCCTAGGAACTCATCACAATGAAACTATGCCGAACAAAGCCTAGACTAACACAAAGATACGGAATAAAAACGGAAAACCAAGGCTAACTTAGTCTAAGATTTTAAAAATGTAGGTAGGCCAAGGCCTATCCTAGGTAGGGTAAGTTATTATTATTTAAACGAACGGAAATTCAATTTGTTATCCTGAAATAGTTTTCTTTGGAATCATTAGAGGAACATTCAATTAGTTACTCCGACCTGTTTACAAAGATAAAAATAGGCAACGTTTAGGTGACGTGTAGTACACAAACAATAACAAAAACAGCATTAAATAACTCATTTTAAGTGGCCATACTAACTTAGATTTAAAAAAATCTTAGAATAAAATAAACAAGAAACTAGGCTATTATCTTAGTCTGGCAACAATAATCGTAGGCCTTATAGGGCCTAGGCTACTTTTAAGCCTAATATTATTAGCCTACACAGCGGGCTCACCTTTGTGCTTGAGCTTGACTAAATTTTCCTCTAGATGTCTCCTCCTAGGGCTAGGGTTGCTGTTAGTGTTAGCCTGTTAAATTAACTTAGCTTTTTAATAATTATTGTCACTTCGATTTCAGTATCTCGCAACTGGCTGTGGCTGTGATTTCTTTCTTTCTTTTTATTTACTAGTTTCTTTTTTCTTTCTTTTCTTAGCAGCCTAGCCTACCAAACGAAACACACAAAAAGTTTACCTAACACCAGTGTGACCAACCAAATAGTGTTGGTTGACTGTTGAGTTGCCACAAGTTTGATATACCACCGCCATGCCATGCGATATGTCACTGACTGACCACAGTCTAATAATAAATAATTTATATAAATTATATAAAGTATACTTTATTTATTAGACAGTGGACTGACTGAACACTGTACGGCTAGGCTACCGAGGTGCACAACAGTTCGCCAAATCAAATCTCCGTGAAGTGTCACTTACTTACTTGAATACTTGTCTTCTCCATCGTTGACCGACATGTCGGATGGATTGCGTCATGTGTTATTTTTACTTCTATTTACATTAACATATTTATACTAAAAACTATCAAAAATATATATATATACTTTTCTTAGGCGGACGTGTCACGTTACCAAAAGACATTATTGTCCAACTCTTGCAAAACGTACAATGGCCTAAGTTTATTCAGCAGTCCATCACGAATCGCTCTTTTAAAGTCTGGCAGGCCCATGTCACGCACTCGCTTGGGCAAGGTGTTATATACCCTAATTGCCGAACGCGGGTAACTCCTTCAGTTATACTCTTTGAACAGTTGAAAACGTCTGATAATGATTTTCAGTCAGGCAGATTGCGTGTATATAAATATTATGTATTTATATACAATATTTATTGATGTTGTAAATTGTACAGTGATATTGTAAAATAAAATTATCAATTATTTATTGATAATTATAACTAGAGGTCACCCCGTGGTCGTAAACTCGACCAAAAATATATGTGTAGTGCAAACAAATAAAACAATTAATGGTGATTTCTTCAATTTTTTTATTTTCTGTTTAGCCTATTTTCGTTGTTATTTCGTCACCAGCATGGCATTCATTTTCATGGCTATTCATTTTTGTGCTTCTTTTTGAGTCCATTTAATTTATATAGGAATTCTCCACATCTACAGGCAAATATCTTTCTAACTGTAAGTTATGCGTAGATTTTCCCTGCGATGCACAGGAGCTGATAATAAATTAAAATCCATGTGTGTAGCCCCGGAGCTGTTGGACATTTTAATTCACTCAAAAAAATAGCTCCGTCCATCCAAAAACAGCTGATCCTTACCCAATATCTCTTTCTCTTACACACAACTGATAAGCATCAACTGGTCTAGTCTATCCCTTGCCTACCTGTGCGGTCGGTTATCTTTTGTTAGAATAGGCCCGTTTCTTAAATGTTTAATTGTTTTATGTATTTATTCGTGTTCGTACTGTGTTTATCTTCTGACGATGTTAACTACTGATCAACTCTATATGTACCTGAAGCGGACGATGGTGTTTTAACACCGAAACATGTCCTGAATGGATATATTTTATTGAGCTGTGACGAGAATACGTAAGTAATTTAGTCTAATGATAAAGGTTTTCAAGAAACATGCTCGCCCTATTAATATATATATTATTACTAGCAGAGTACCCGTTCTTCGTTCGGGGTTGGCGTATAAATATAAAATGCTTATTGCAGTTACACCACTCTTGCCTTTGTCCAAGGATAAAACATACTTGAGGAGTATGTTTTATCTATGCTTTGTCTTAGTAAAATCAATGCTAGACAATCTAAAGAAATCGTGCTTCGGAGCCTCATGGAATAAAATTGGGCCACCAAAAAATTACACAAAAACGATACATTTGCAGACGATAACAGCTGCTGTCATCCATGGTAAAGGTAAACTTAGTTACCTAACCTACATATCTTGTCACTAAAATAAAAATAAAACTAACACATAATTTGCAATAAAAAACGCTAAATAATAATCTTAATTGTCAGTTTATATTTTTATTATTTAGACTGTGTATTATATCTTACTATACTTTATATTTTACTTCGTATATAATTTTTTCTAACTGAAAATAAACATTTGATTCTTTATTAATTCTGAAATATTAAATTGTATTGTTTTATTTAGTAGGTACATAATAACCAAGCACGATTTTGATCAGAACAATAGCTATTCGTCAGAGACTGAACAGGACCTTTCAACGCTAAAATAGTAAGTAGCCTTGCAGTAGGGATGAAAATCGATAGGTCTACCACCGATGTTAACACCGGTATCAGTCATCGATGTTAACATTGGTATCAACCATCAAAGTAGGCCTACCGATATTATCGTCGCAAAAACATTGATGTTTTCAGGAAATATAATAGCCTTTCAATAAACGACGTATTTTTTCATTTTGAGTCTTTGTCTGCTTTCCGCCTCAAACTAGCTTCTTAATAACTAGAGTTTCTTGGTTGACACTTTCACTTTCAAACTTGTAAGACGAAATATCGGTCTTAATTGAGTTAATTGATTATGCTGGAGCATGATTGCTGCCGCTAAAATTGAATACAAATGAATTGAGTTTTGTAACATTTATCTTAAGTAGAACAAGCACCTAATTAATATAAGTTACCCCCAAAAATGTCTTTATTCCTCACTCTACCGTGTTATCTCACTCTACTCTAGTACGCCAGTGTACCGTAGCCTATAGTCTATAGGCCTATTCATTAATGTCTAGGTCTAGTCCAGTTTGGGTAATTTTTGTGTTATTAAACATTTCATTAGACTTTCGATGAAATTAATTCAATTCTGGTTTTGGAAAATACTGGATCTTTGACGGAAACATTGATGGTAACATAAACATCGGTAGCCTACCATCGATGTTAAAAACATTGAACATCAATAGAAAAACATCGGTTTTTCGAAAACATAGGCTATACCAATGCTCGCAAGCACCCCTTTGGTAATAGAAGTTTCTGCGGTTGCTGTAAAACTTAATAAACATGCAAAATTATTTGTTCTGGGCGTTTATCGTCCCCCAGGAGAGGGCAAGGATGCATTTGATCTTTCCTTGGAGACTCTTTCAAAAATTCTAGACCCTTGGGTGACACAGCATGACATAATTCTCATCATGGGTGACTTCAACATCGACTGCCTAGTATCATCAGCAAGAAGCAAACAACTGGAAGAACTCCTAACGACTTTTAACGTTCACCGAATTAAGCTTCCTCCTACAAGAATTTCTAAGGAGTCTTCAACATCGATCGACATGTGCTGTGTATCCTCAAATTTCATGCAAGAGGTTGACGTTCAAGTTATCAATACTGGAATTTCGGACCATACTGGACAATTGTGCAGTATAAACCTACCTGTAGCACAAACAAAACCTTGTATTTACTCTCTCCGTAGCCTCAAACCACATAACTTAGATAATTTAAAACTTCTTTTATCACTTCAAGACTGGACAACTATCTTAGAATACAGATGTGTTGAGGATGCCTACAATAGTTTCATTTCAATCATTACTTTAGCTCTTGATGCTACATGCCCCCGAACAATGTCCCGAAGCAAGAAGAAAAATCCGGTAAAACATGTTTACGATGATGAAGCCAAAATTATGAGAGAAGACTTCATTCGTGCTCAAGACCTCTACATCCTAAGAGGAAAAGAAGAAGATAAACTTCAGGCAAATCATTTAAAGAAAACCTACGACCTAAAGCTGAAATCGCTGCGTCGTACAGCCACTGCCAACTACATCTCTGGGTCCTCAATAAAGTCGAAGGCTATCTGGAATGTGATTAATAGTGAGCGGAAGTCAAAAGAGCTTGGACCTGAAAGTTGTAAATACCTCATGGTGGACTCAAACAAAGTAGAAGATCCCAGGAAACTTGCTGATTGCTTTAATGCTTACTTCACATCAGTTGCTGAAGATACATTAAAAAACATCCCTGACCAGAAGCCACGAATCGAACAACACACCCAACTTGATGTACCATTTCCCTTGATGTCGTTTCCACCTACCTCTAAGCAAGAATTGCTCAAGATTATCTGCAGTCTACACAACAAGACTTCCTCAGGCTTAGATGATTTTTCGTCAATCATGGTTAAACACTGCAAAGATGAACTAGTAACACCTCTACAACATATAATAAACCTAAGTATGTCCCAAGGTATTTTCCCAAGCAAAATGAAAAGCTCAATAGTAATTCCGATACACAAGAAAGGAAGTAAACACGACATAGAAAACTATAGGCCCATCTCATTGGTTTCTACCTTCTCGAAGCTTGTGGAGAAGATAGTTCTTATTAGGCTCACGGATCATCTAGAAATCAACAGGATAAGATTACATTCTCAACATGGTTTCCAAAAGAATAAATCTACAGTTACAGCCTTGGTAGAATTGATTGAACACATTGTGGACAAACTCGAGAAGGGGGAGAATGTAACGAGTGTCTTCCTCGACTTGAGTAAGGCCTTTGATTGCCTCAGCCATAATCTGATCCTTGCAAAACTTGAAGAACTTGGTTTGCAAGGTGTTGCCTGGAAATGGTTTCAGAGCTACCTAGTGGGACGCAACCAACTTGTTCAACTACGACAGAAAGTGAATGGGAGAGTCTCTACATACAGATCAGAACTGCTTCCTAATTCAAGAGGCGTACCCCAAGGGTCTATCCTGGGGCCGGTGATTTTTATCCTATTCACTTACGATCTTCCATCACACATCGAGCCGTACAGCAAAGCATTAATGTACGCTGATGATACAGTCTTAGTAACTTCAAGCAATTCAGTTGAAGATCTAGAAGTTAACTCTTACATTGCCTTAAACCTAGCAATTGATTACTGTAACATGAACGACCTGGTATTCAATGCGGGGAAAACCAAGCAGGTAAACATGGGAACGAAGAGAGATGAGATTTCTGGCTGTCCAGATCTTCAGGTCACTGAATCATCAAAGCATCTTGGTTTGGTTATTGACAACAGGCTCTCATGGGTTGATCACATAGACGAACTATGCATGAGATTAAGCAGCGCAACCTTCGCTCTAAGACGCATCAAGTGCATTAGTACGACAGAAGCCCTAATAACATCGTATCACTCTCTCTTTGAAAGTCATCTTAGGTATGGCATTCAGCTTTGGGGAAGTGCCTCCCTTCACATCATCCAACGGGTGCTGGTCCTGCAAAAGAGAGCGTTAAGAGTCATGGCTGGCCTTGGCTGGAGGGAGAGCTGCCGAGAGCCTTTCAAACAGTGGAACGTTCTCACTGTGGTGAACATCTACATCCTGGAAGTTGTTTCACTCGCCTGCTTGAAGGGTCTCCCCAAAAATGAAGATACCCACCAGTACAACACTCGGCGCGCAGGAGACTTCAACCTTCCTGTCCACCACAGCAAGCGGTTTGAAATGAAGCCATCGTACAACGGAGCGAAGTTCTTCAACCTACTACCAGATGAAGTCAAAACTTCAAAACCTAAAATTTTTAAGACAAAACTGAAGGAGTGGCTGCTAGGTCGTCCATTCTACACGATTACTGAATTCACCAACTGGCGGAACGACTGAATATTTCGAACATTTTATTGTAAAGGAAGAAGAATGTCAATCTAATTGTTTGTATATACACTTTGTATTTTTGACACTATTTCAATCTTGAAGATTGCAAATAAAGCATCTCTCTCTCTCTCTCTCTCTCTCTCTCTCTCCTACCCTGCAGGAACCACCTGGTTTCTTACATATGATTTAATTCAGTTTTAACGCAGATCTATTACTTTGTATAACACAAGACCTCTGTGCAAGACCTATTCACCTTTCAAGGCTTATTCCCACACTTTCCTTCAATTTATATAATAAGGGTTACAACACATCTTAGTGGCATCCTCATAATGCAACAGTGATTAATTAATGGATGAAGCAAAGAAAACAAATACAAATTGTCACTAATCTGTTTGTTATGGTTTCCCTCTAAGTAAATTTAGTATAACTTGTGATATATACAAAGAGAAGTTAGATGCCAAGTGGATTATCCTCAATAAAGTCATCATCCCTGACTTTCCTTAACTGTGTAAGCCAGTTTACTTCGGGATGAGGAAACAACGTCTTCTACAACCCATTGCTCAGACCTAAAACTAACAGTCAAGCAATTGCAAAAAGCGTACTTGTTAACCTAGAGACCAAGCAAAATAATTCTAAGCTTGGCATTCAGGCTGCATTACTTGTCCAGAAGCATTAGCAGTTGTTTGGTTATGACCACATGAATAAAGACCTCCCAGTTTAAATTTAAGTTTATGTTAAGGTTGATTCACAGTATTCACACAAATCAGCCCAGTTATCGTTCCGTCACAGTCCAGTCACATTTCAGTCTCAGTTGTATCCGCAATTCCTCAGTCAACTGTCCGTCAGTTGGTTTCAGTCAGGCTTCCGTCACATTATTTACAGTGAGGTTATAGTCAATTTTTTAAAATTTAATACAATATTCTTATCAATTTTTCATCATCTATCTTTGATGATTGTTACAAACCATACCGGTACTTAAAATTAAACACATAATTATTTAAAAAACAAAATTATTGTTTTTTAATGTCAAACACATAGCCTACATGACACGACCATCAGTGTTCGTCAGGCGTGAGGACAATCCAAAAATATCTGTGGAAAGAAATCTGAAATTGACTGACGGATCTGCGTCTGAACTGCTCCGGATGAGTGTAGATAGCGCAAAAGAAAACACATTAAAGAATATATTTTTGTTCTGCGACATGACTGATGTGACATGCCGTAACTGATGTGTGTGAATCGACATTTGAATAATGAAACAAAAATTCAATCTTCATTTTCAAGTTAAATTGTTATCTTGTAGACTACTAAGTTATACTGAAAAGATATTCAGTTATTTTAAACACTTAAAGTATCCCTCCTAAAAACCCACACACACACACTGAAACAGTTATTTAAACTAGACCTAAGATATACTTGAAATGGTTTTTCAGAACAAGAGGGGAAAGTAGAGTGCATAAGGGCACTACTACCATGTGACGACAAAGAAAACTACGTTGGCGGTTTTTTAAGCAGGCGGTTTCGCGTAGCTTACTTGTACGCCGCAATGAGGCTCATCACCATATACTGGCATCATTTGTGAACAGAATGAAAAATTTCAGCTCTGTAGCTGACAAGTACGCTTCGCTGTGTATTTAAAAAGATTTTTAAACAGTCAAATCTCCAACCGTTTCTGAGGTAAGGTCATTGATATGTTTTTTGATTTCAAGAAACATATCTGATGCTGACATTCATCGCCAGATGACTGGAGATTATGACCCTGGTAAAGATAGCGTTGAAAGTGCAGAAATAGGATAGGGAGTCTAAAAATAGCCAAGAAAATGCTAATTTGGGAAGGAATTGTGTTTTTGGTGGGTACCCAGACTTCTCAAAGAAGACCACTAAGAAAAAAGGATTTCACGGTCATTTTTACACTCAATAACCCATTTTCGCACTCTACCCTCACTCATTACATTAGGGACATCACCTTCAGTTATTTGGCGATGAATGTCAGCATCAGATATGTTTCTTGTAATAAAAAAATGTATTACAGGATGTTATACATCTATATTTAATAGATAATAACCGATATCGTATAAAAAAGGATACCGTTCAAACTGGTGCAACCTTACCTGGTACGCACTATGAGATTAAATATAAAAAGAATTGAAAATAAACAGCGAAGCGTACATGCCAACTACCTACAGACCTGTAATTATTGTCATTCTATTCACAAATTATGCCAGTAAATGGTGTTGAGCCTCATTGCAGATTACAAGTGAACTACAGATTTATATGCGAAACCGGCCCTTACTTAAAAACCGCCCTCGTATGTACGAAGCACCTATCTTCTTGATAGACATCTAATTCCCACATGCTTGGATGTTTTTTGTACTGTTTATGGTTTTTCTATAGTAAAAAAATGTTGCTGTACTGCAAGATAGTGTAAAACATTGCTAAATTGCTAAAGCGTCTCATCATAAAATGCAATATTCTTTTTATTCATACTTTTAAAAGTGGCTGGTAACAAAGAAAGTTTGTTTTATAAAATCTATTTCTAAAAATATTGCATGCTTGTTTAATTATAATTTTATTCTTTTTAGCTAAAAAGTGAAATGAATTCAGGAGTACAACATGTAACAAAAGTCAGACTCCTTTACAAAACAATACTACGATTGCATCAAGGCCTGCCTGAAGCTTTGCAAACCCTGGGAGACAACTATGTAAAAGACGAATTTAAACGACACAAGAAATGCAATCCTGTAGAAACTGCACAGTTTATGATGGAATGGACTGTAAGTAAAATGTTTTCGTAGAACGCTTAAGTCAGACATCTTATTGAGCCTATATTTAGTTTTATTTAAGGTCAGTTGTATTCTTTTTATCAGAAATAACTTTTAAAGCCTATTTATCAGAAATAACTTTTAAAGCCTAAAAGTAATGTTTTATATAAAAGTAAGAGGTGATTAATGGTATTTCTTGTTTATACCTACATACTAGTGACGGTTAAAACCAGGGATTTCGAATTGTATTTCGAACTTTGATTTGCAGCCACGCTAAAGTAATACAGTACAGTAAGTAGTACAGTTAAGTGCAGGTCCCCAAAGTCGTGCGGTTCAGCCAGGAGCGACGAAAGAGTATCTCAACTCATCCACTACAATACAGTCTTAACACATGAAAAAACACACAATGTCACAATACTCGATCGCCTATAGGGAGGGTTGGAAGGTCAGACAACCGAAGGGCGGATAGTTTGAGACTACTGTATTCCATTATACATTTTAAAAACCTTTTGTTGATTATCAACCCTTTTGTTGTTTAATTAACTGTAACAATATTTATTTTTCAGCATTATGCAGTCTCTTTAGCAAACCAATTAGGAATGAATGAGCCCAGACCTGAACTAGACGTGGGATCATATATTGATGAAAAAACTCTTGAACATATGAGAGAAGACCAAGTTGTGCAGTTATACGAGCTATTAATGGCAACTAAGGGGGCTAAAGAACAATGAGGTCATGAGAAGAAAGAAATCATTGTAGATATCATAGTTGTTTACTTTGAAACATAAATTACAGAAAACTTCTCCATTAACCTCTAGCATGGCCTTAGGGATACTGAAGTAGACACCTCATCTATATGGACCACTGGACCAGCTTTAGCCATTTTAGCGAATTTCCCATATAAGGAATAAGCTATTACCGTGGTACTCATGGTAAGACCTGGACGCAGGACTGATTTTTTTTTCGTTTTGAGGTCCCTAGAGGCCAAAAACACCATCCGTTCAAATTCATATATAGCCTATATATTTATATATATGTGTCCGTTAGCACGATAACTCGAGCAAAAATTATCCGATTTTGATGAAATTTGGTAAAAGCAAATTTATAAACCTACATTCATTCGAACGAGTTCCCGAACCATCATGATCCGACTATGGGAACGGGGGTTTTATGGGGCAAAAATAGGTTTTTCCCAAAAAACATAAAATTTAGCAATTTTTTTCCAAACCATTTTGTAGAGCTTAAATAACAAATAATTTAGTATATTGAAGCATTATTGAAGCGCCTAATGATTACGGAGAAAATTCCAAAAAAATGTAAATTTAAAATTCCCATGTTATTCTTATGGAGAACATGTAAACTGTTGTAGTTTGCTTGTTTATGAACATATTTTGATCAAATTTGGAAAATGTTTTTATTTCTTACTAACTATTAACATTTTACAAAAAAAAAACAGTTTTACCCTCCCTGAAGCAGCAAACCTAAGTACTTGTTAAACTAATTCTATTTAAATAGGAAATAAAATGTTATATTTTTAAGTAGACATTTTACTGTAAATCCAATCAGGCAAATGGAAATTCGCTTAGTCTGCAGGTTTGCTGCGGCGGGGGTATTTTGTATTAAAAAAAAACATATGTGAATACAGTGGCGTAACTAGAATATGGCTTTGAGGGGGGGGGGTGTATGAGCTCGGAAAATTTGTAACAAAGAGAATTCTAAACTTGCATTTCCAGGCATTCCAGAGGTGTAATCATGTTCAAAAGAACTCCAAAAATCAACCCAATTGAGGCTGTCTCCTGCCGGTCAGATTCAGGAAATATTATCTCTTGATTAAGAAGTACCACTATCGGTAAATACTCATGTGATTCGCAACTTATTGCAGTTTCTCCAAGTTTTAGATTTGGGTGAAATACCTTCCTGACGACTCTGACATTTCAGAATACACATTTAACAACATTGATTTTTTTAGAAACTTTGCCAGCACTAGTAACTAACATCTAAAAGCTGTCTGGCGTCTGCTTAGGACTTACAGTGCATGCTTGCAGTGTTACCACTACCACTCTCCAAATTTACTCCCGCTACCTGGGTGTATTAATTAAATAAACCTTTTAAAATTAGTTTAATATACAAATGAACTACCTAATAATTTTAACGAATTAGATTGATAAAACCAAATCAAAACTAAATCATCAGTTTCAGTTTATAGACTTCACTCAACTTGAGCAACTGTATTTTAAAGAAGTAGGATTGCTGTGATACAAATATTTATTTTCATTTAAGGGTTCTGGGGGGGGTTCTATCCCCCTCATCCCCCCATAGTTACGCCACTGTGTGAACAAGCCAATCATACAGTGAACTGCAGTCTAAAATTATACCTCAGGTTTTTTTTGTATCTATGATAGTGTATACATAAATAATGCTATGGATATAAAAAGTTGTCCTTTTTGTTTGCCTTTGTCAAAAGTTGATGTATTCAACAGAAATCAATAGTTTAAGAACATCAAACACTGTCATTGGCTCAACTAGGTTCATTTTTTTCTAAAATTTGGCTACATTATTAACATGGAACTATTAGCCTATGTCTACCTCTATCAATAGTCAAAACTACTACAGTGAAAAGCAAATAGGTAAGGTATGTTTCAAATGCACTAGGAATAGTGTTTTAATAAATAGAGATCTCTTTACTAAAAACATGTTAATGGTCTCTAACAGATCTTGTTAATGGTCATCAATTGGTCATGATGATGACCGGTGTGACTGGTTGAAAGGCCTAGCATGCAACATCTGACTGATGTAAGTTTATGTATATGTATTTGCCGTCATGTAAATAATTACTTTATTACTGTAAATATGTCGAGTAGTATTGGAAAAAAGCAAATCTCTTGTCTGTGTTTTGCGTAGCAGAACCTAGTTAACTTGTTCATGTTATGTAAAAAAATATATATTCCTACATTAGTACTAGGTACATTTTTAGTTTGAAAATATTTAATTATTTTAACTTATTTAATCGAAAACTACCATTTATCACTGTTATAATACATGGGCCTCCATCAATATGGGGTTGGGGCTTTGAGCCTACCATATAAAGACCCCATGTTCAAATTGTGCAGTAAAAACATAAAATTCAAATAATTTCATTATTACCAACTTGAACAAGCCATGCTATTCATGTGATGTTATTGCCTTCATGTTAAAATACATCCACCCCAAATCTGGCCAATGTTACCAAAATACCACTGTTGTCAACAGTTTTACCATCACTACACAGCTAACATGATAGAAAATTGTGATGTTGAAATATAAAAGGAATTATATTAATCGGAGAAAAACTAGCAAAGTTGAAATATTAAGATTTTTAATACTACAATAAATGTAGCCCTTCTATTTTGCTTTAGTAGCCTAATGACATTTTATGAAAATCGATTGTTTTAAGCTATTGCCAACAAAACATTGACAGTTTGCTGAATATTTTGTATACAAGAAAGTGATATGTAACTCTTTGTTGATAATATATGTTTCTTCTGTACAGCTCAAGGAAAAGATTTAAATTTAAGCTTAGCCTAATCTAGTTTAATTTAATCACAAATTATCTTTTATTATACATATAATTTGGTTACAATCATTTTACATTTTTTTTTTAATTCCTTCTATAATATGAAAAAAAACTCAGAAACTGTGACAAATTAATCTGTTATGAATGTTCCCACATAGTTCTATCTAATAAGGTATAGTATTAATCCTGGTTTAACATTACACAGGCTATAATGTGTAGCATTTTGTAATTATTGTATATTATATGATTAATAAATTTTATTTTGAATAAATTATTGTATATGAAGAACACATCTTATTATTGATAACATCCATATCATTTTTAATAGACAGAACATTGATTTGTATGATGGCAGTGTCAGTTTTCCTACAAAATTCTTTGGCTGTTATTATGATGACCTACCAATTGTTGCATTGTTTTGTTAGGAACCAGCCTGAGTAGTAGTAAATCAAGTAAAGAACATGGCAGGGTCAGAATGGAACGAGTTCACTAATTTTTTATTGACAAGTAAAGAAAGATGCAAAAATGATAAATACTAAAGGTGATGGTCAATCAATCAATATTCACTACAATCCTTTGTATCCCAGGTATTTTCTATGATTTAGTTTAACCTGTTTTTAAAATTGTGTTTTTCACAAGACATTGTGACCAACTTTTCTTGACCTCAAGCTCAGATATCTTGTTCAGGGCCAAGTCCTATTGTATGTGGCCTTCATTAGTCGCGAGGCTTTCAAATATCCCAGTGTCTTAAATAACGGATTACAATAAAATCTGGGTTGGATCCATGAATTGCATATTGGGAATTACAAGTAACATATTAAAAACAGAAATTACATGATGACCAGACCATGAATATTTATTCATAACGCATCTTTTTAAATTGGTAAACTAGAATTATCTTTACAACCTCATGTTCAATGCAAACACTACTTTGTCATGTCCAATTTGAAGTCATTTGGTCTGACTCTGACATTCCATGTATCTTAGGTTAAAGGGTGTACTGAGAATTGTTAAATGAAAAGAATTTAGATTTATTACTATTCCTTTTGCTATATTGTAGGATTATATTGAAAACATACCATGAAATCAATGGGAGCTCTGAATTTCTTGTTTGTGCTCCACTTGTTTGTTGTAAAAAGTAGATTAGTTGAGAAAATATCAAATTACAGTAGAATGTGCACTGAAACATGCTTTCATATCATAAAGATGCAAAATGGATTTGAAGTATTATTATTGGAGTCGGGAATTTCAGATAAGATTATTCAATTATTGATGCAATCAGGAAAATCTGTCACAGTCAAACAAAGTGTAAATGGTTTGATTTGTATACACAATGTAGATAATATTATTTTGAACAGATGTTTTACAAGGTCACAAGAGAGCCACCTCAATCTCACTCACAGAGAGTGTCAAAGTGAATATGATCATTTTCAAGATACTGTAAGTGAAATATCACCAACAAATGGAAAAAGATGTTCATGCACTTTATGTTTACATCCTTCTCTTGATTTTTCCGTACCAAATTTGACTTATTGTTGTTCGTTGATGTCACAATTTAATCACACAATTCCTCAGATTAGGAATCCTTTAAGTGAGACTTCAGTGCAAAAAACTAGAAAATGGCCAGATATGATGGGTAAGATGATTGAAGCTGTCACCTTCCATCGACCTATTTCAACAATCATAAATAAGAAGGAGGTCAACCCTGCAAGTAAGTTTAAAAAAAAGGAGTAAAGATTGTAATAATAGCCTATATCATTAATTTAAAATTATTTTCCTGTATTGACATACCTATAAACTAGAACCCAAATCAGGTTATGACAAATCCCAACATTCCTGGATCTTAGCATGTCCATGGCAAGAGTGGATTTAAAATTCTTATCCAAATTTAAAGGCCAAACACCCACGAATTAACTACCTATTCTCTTAATCTTTGTTACAGTAAATGGTTCACCTAAATTTGAGATTATGACTATTGATCGATTGACTAGATGATATGAGAGTAAACCTAAGCTTCCGCCTAATATGAAATCTGTTTTGTAATTCGGATTCTGCAGAAAGGGGTTAACCTCTATTGAAATCCGTTGCCATTGGATGGGTGTGTATGGAGAAGAATGTTTAAGCTTAGGGAGTGCAGAAAAGGCTGCACACATTTGCACGATGATTCTGGCAGCGTTTTTCACTTGTTCCCATCGAGCTAGTGATTGGAGTTGAGGAAACTTTGCCTGCTGATCACTACCAGAAGATCCTTGATAGTCTTAACTTGATAGTCCTTGTTATGTTACCTACTATCAGTTTGGTAAATCTCCTAACTTCCTTCACCTCTAAGAATATTTTCTTTGTCCAAAGACTCTTTTTCATTCATGTCCGCAATTTGGTGATCAACTTCAAATGGGGTTGACACTTTAGACCACAGAAATCTAATCTTGAAAACAATTCATACTTGGCGGAAGCAAAGGGTTTCCTTCACAGAGTTATCAACTACTACGACAAGGTTAATTGTTGCATATCGGTCTTAGGATGAGAAACTCGCGCTTGAGTCTCCTTCTGCACAAATTGCTGCAGAACTCCTTTCCTTGGACTTGGGGAGTATCGACAAGGTAGTATGTTTTATCACAGGGCACTGCCACTCTAGAAAGCGCATGCATAGAGTGAGTCTCTTAGTGAATGACTCACAATGCAGTATGAGGCCTCTGAACATCTATTCTTTTATCTATTCTTTCCTGATTCAAGGGAATCTGCAAGTTCATCAGGTTTGGAGATACTGATTTGGTTAGGTTTATACAGGGTTTTTGGGCTGATAGAAGATTTAAAATTGTTTTCCTACAGTCACCCGACAAAGTTGGCTTCCTTGTACTGTTTATAGTACAGAAAGCTGCTAATTGCTGCATATTTATACTTTGTCGTACGGTTTATACTTTGGCGCACATCAGGATTCCAACGAAACAACACAAAACAGCGTGGTTCTATTATGCACGTAATACGTAATCCGTGTACGCTTGGAAATAGGTTGGCAACACTTAAAGATAATAATAGGTACTATGAGCAGCTGATTGACTATTATAAATACGATTTAACCTGCCATTTTGTGTTTATAGTTTCGGTATTTCTGAACTTTCTGGACTTTTCTTTTAAACGTTTTAAAAACATTCCTACGATCTTAATAAACAAGAAAATACCTTTAAAGCATCTTTTTTAGGCGCGGAAACCACTTCAAATTACAAAAACATACGGAACTATATTCTCAAATTGCGGAGCACATTTCTTGCCGAGGAAAAATAGCGGAGTGATACGGACCGGGTACTACTTTCTCTAGGGCACCTATTTGTGTTGCCAGCTGAACCCAAAAACGTGTTTTATAGTGTTTGAAAGACTAATTACTTATATGCTTTATAGTGACTGTAGGAAAAATATAATGTGTAACACGAGTGCAAAAGGCCTTTGCTGCACTCGAGATCATTCCAAACATTGCTCTCGTGTGCAGCAAAAAGCCACTTTGCCCACTAGTTACACAAATAACTATTGTTTGATCCTTTAAACTAAAGTTGTTCCATGTCAATGTCATTCCACTAGAAGTTAAAATTTGTGAATTAAGTTATTACTGATAGCTGCTATTTAAAGTGGTAAAAAATTTGCCTTCCAGATTGTGTTTCTTTTGTGCGACTCAAAACATCCATATGTCCAAAATAGTTCTTGGACGCTAATGACATAAAATCTGGTTAATAGGTCCACCCCACTATTAGTTTTATTTTAACATAGTTTTAACTTGTTTTTTATTATTTTGGAAATAGGCAATAGACAAAAATCTGTATAAGTAATTTCTTCCAGAAATACATTATAACGTCATATACATCAAAGATAAAACATAAGACCCTTCCCTGTACCTAAGTTATGAGATTCCGACAGCTTAGCAAGGATATGTTAATATTTTCCAGAGAAATATGATGGTTTGGAGATGAACATTTTTATTGAGATAGCCAAGAAGTTGAACATGACTTGGCGGATCAATGAACTGGATGGTGAGATGGATAAGTGGGGACAACTCCTGAGCAATGGTACTTGGAAAGGAGGAATCATGGAGCAACTCACCTCAGGAACTGCGGAAATTGGATTTTCCACTCTTTGGATGTCTCCTCATCAGATACCTTATCTGGATTTCACTACTTTTTGGACCACTGTAAATGTTTAATAGATTAGATATTTGAATAACTTGATTTTCCACTGTTATATACAGGATACTAATGTCGGGACCACGTAAGTTTGCAGTTGAGGGAGGAGCCTATTTACTATATGGTTTTGAATTAACCAATGACAACCATGCGGTGTTGCCAAATCTAATAATACCAGCGGATTTGAAAATATTGCTTAGTATATTTTAATTAGTGTTGTCAACGGGCGATGTGGCAACGTTGCACTAGCCTTGTCTTGTGATTGGCTGCAACCAACTGCAAACTTATGTGGTCCCGAATTTAAGTATGTATCTATATTATTAAAAGAATTTGTTTGATTTTTGTATTCAGCAAATCGATCCTTAAATATTTATTTTTATAGGCATATTGGGTATCAAAAGCTCTTATCCTCTAGATGTGCCTTTTGCGGCTTTGGATGATATCCCGTGAAAGCCCTTCGTCCTATAGGCTTTTTAATATTTCAGAGTTTGTGCTGAATTCTGTAGAAAATCATCTTAACTTTTTAAGTTTACATTTGTTAAAATCAAAACAGATGGCCATGATAAAATTTTGTTTACAACCATACAAAATTGGGGGTTATCGTTACAGTTGGTGATGTTTAAGTGAATTCAAGTAAAATATTGTAAACATACTTATCTAAAAAGTTTTTTTCTAAATCAAAGTTTTTTAAACTTTTTTTATGTATGATTTCATATTGTATTGGAAATCTAATTACAAAGTTATGTTCAGGGTCTGCTTAAAAAATTACAAGTCATTGGTAAGTTAATGATTATCATGTAAAAAATATATAATATTCAACTTAACTCAGAGCAATAGAAAATTGTAAATTTATTCAAATATATCGCGGATTTTGAAGCCCCAAAGTGACGCTGGCTGCTAGTATATTTTGTCATCAAAAGAAGAAATGCTCCAGATTTAAGTGAATGTAAATATATTAGAGTAGTTATTACCTAATTTTTCTGTTTGCTGTGTTATTGGGTTCTAGTTGTATATTATCCCTTGTACGTTTTGCCAGCAAGGGCAAAAAATATTTAAATTTATCACTGTCTTGGACGTTTTGCTTTATTACTTGATTTGTATTTTGA